TAAATCGGAGTTCTATTTATATTAAGTTAAAAAAAGCAATTATCGCACCTAAAAGGGGGTTAAGATAACTTTGGTTCGGTTAGATTCAGATTGACCCAATATGGCAGTTACTCCACTTACATATATAGTAGCGTTATTAGCGTTATTCGAGTTTTTCGAGTATATGCGGTATGTCTTGTAAGTAGGGCAGAGTCTGGGCAGAGTGAATCGAACTGGTCGATGTGCTCGGATCTGGCATGGCACTGTACCCAAGTCCACTGCAGATCAAGCCCAGTCTAGACACACACTATGAATTGTCCGTTAGCCCCTGGATTCATTTGCCTTCGCCTGATCTGTGGGAACTGGAGAGGATGTACATCCAGATATTAATAGGTCCTAGTGGCAACTCGGAAGACTCCTGAGCAGGGAAGTTTCATACAAAGATTTTTACAGTAGCATCCAGTCTCCACATAGCCTCACTTTTGGTGCATTTAGTAGGTGGCGAGGGTGGGCAGCGTACTGCAAACTACCTCGACTAGACCCGACTACACTAGGTAAGTAGGTATCTACAGGGCTGCGGGATTTCCGTTGAGCAGTTCCTAGGCAGCTTGGTTCCAATCTTCTAGAATCTTTTCACGATTTTTAAGGATGCTGCTGTATCGCCCCAAGCAAAATCAAACTGGAGAACGAACAGGGGAAGTTGTCCAGGAGCTGATTCAGCATATTCATGCTGAAACAACAGTTGTTGCTACCACTCTGCACCCTTCGCGGATTCAATGCATTGTCGGTATCCTCTCTCTCTGTTTAATTAACGCCTACTGTAGGTATCGAGGTATGTGATTTCGCGACTGGTTGGCGAACCTGTGACACAGCAAGGTTTGCGAAAGAGAACGGGCGAATGGCAGGCCGCCATTTAGAATGGAAGCGTCATTGTGAGGTCGACTTCGGCTTAACGTGGCCTCACCCAGATCCTTCACCGGAGGAATAACCAGTCTCGCCAGTCTCGCCAGTCAAAAGCGGCCGGTACCTGCATAATACCTACACCACTACATGTACTTAAGTAAGGGGGCTGGTGTTAGTCTCGGTCGTTGGAGAAGCTGGTCTTGTCTGATTGGATCAAGGCATAATATCTCGCACGAGACCGTGACGTGGACGGGAGACAGACCACCTCTGCACTTTTTCAGTCTACCGGTAGGTACTCCGTACATGCTAGATAGGTATCCAGTATACCTAGTAAGTAGACAGGACGATAAGACCAGATCTATACCTACCTTAGTACTAATAATATGACCGCTCGTTCCTGGTCGGCCTGCATTGAGCACCTGGGTAAGTGCTTATTCGCGTCCTGGAGTACTCCGTACTGCTGGAGCTCAGAATCTACAGGGCACTTGCCTTACAGTATTTGTCAGGCTAGGTATCTATAGTACTGTATGGGCATAGTAAGTACTTACCAAGGAAGTAGCGGTACGGCTGCACACTGTACTGTACTCAGGATTGCATACCTACTGTGTTGTTTTCCTTCCTGCACCACCTCCTACCGGTACATAAGTACCTAGGTAGGTACTCCGTACACAATATCGTCATCATCTTGATGCTGCACATGGAAGTAAATCTTGATTCATGAGAGAAATACTACCCCACCTTGCAATTCCCGCCAGTTCCGGTGGTTGGTAGCAAAGCTCAAGGTGCCAGCCTGCTCTAATGAGCCGTGATTTTCGCAGGCGGACTCTGACTGAGGCCGTTTTGATACTACGGAATTCTGATTATTGGGGAAAATGGTGTCTGCACAAATCTCGTACACTCGGCGGCTGAGCAACGTGTGCCGCATGACATGCAATCTGATTCGCTACCTGCATCGTATTTGCGGAACGCTCGATGATACCCCATGAGTTTGAGTCGCGTCAGCTACCTAGTCTATCTACCAGAGGTGGTATATACGCACATACGAAGGACTCTGGTGTAGCGAGAGTCGAAATAGTGATACAATAGAAGTAGACGTGTCTATCTCTAGGTACCTACTTGGGCGGACGGTCTTCCAAAATGTCAGCAACCGTAAAGAAAAAATACCTTTCCAGTATGGTATGTTAAGATGGTCGGATGGGTGATTGGAACAATGCTCGGGACGTTGTACATAGATGTTTTGCCCAACCGTGATAGGATCAACAATTCGGCCGGGGGGAATGTCGGCCTCTCTAGGTAAAGATAGTCGATGCGAGATGCGATATGACATACTACGTAGTCAGTAACGCCACTACGGGCGCGCTCTTCTACGCGAAGCGAGAGACGATAATATCCATAAGATCGTAAAGCCAAGTGTACATAGTAGATAAGCATCGCGGATGACGGACTTGTGCGGTTGGTCACAAATCCCGATGCAACAAATCTCATCTCGTGGAAAAGCGCGACGACATTTACACGACTCTGCACAACCTCCCAACACATGTGAATGCCTACATCTATCTATACAGTGCACACGTACTTCGTAGGTATGCCATGCCATATCAAGTAAGGATGATCTTCATGTAGGCATGGTATTGGTAGATTTGCCAGAGGTAATATAAAGTATGCGTAGCACCATCCACACTGGTATCGTTAGGTACTCTCGGTAGTGCAACGAAGATGACGCAACATACGCGAGTTCAGCATTATCAGGGTGGCGCAGCGCTTGTCGGGGGGATGGGTAGGTAGGTACTTCGTAAGGCAGGAGTAGGTTAGACTCCTACTAGGAGATAAGAGAGAGAGAGAGAGAGAGAGAGAGAGCAAGTGAGTGAGCAAGCCATGTCAATTGTCAAGTTACCTAGGCGAGCTAGGTAGTTAAGCAGATGGCCTCAGTTGACACTCTTAACCATCACAATGTCTATGAGGTAAACCAGCGATGGGACCGGCGCAGGGCTTTCTACGCACTGGGAAAGGAGGAGGACACGCAGTCAAACTCGACAATAATCACAGTCTGTCACAGCCACAGAGCTACGGGGTGTCTTTGCCACTTGTGGACTTGAACTTCCAAGTTCTCTCGTTCCACATTTCAAAACAGACCATCTCAAGTAGGAAGTACTCCTACACAGTACATTTCTCAGTGATAGCTGATAGCTGATAGCCGATACCTAGCCCACTACCTACCTAGGTACTAGGTACCTACCTAGCATACCTACCTACAGATTGTGCTTTGAACAAGCGGTATCTCTGTCATGCTTTGTTATTTTGCGAGGTGCTAGGTAGATGAATACCTATTGGGACCTTGAAGTTACGGCATTGGGCATTGCAGCAGTATACCGGTATTAGTAGACACCTAATGATGTACCCAGGTTGTAGGAATGCTCTGAAGGTATTTGTTGCGTACCTAGGTAGAAAGTGACAATTGGTAGTGGGTTTTAGGTACTTAGGTAGGCATGCAGGACAGTAGCATGTACTGTATCCATACCTTGGGTACCTAGGTAGGTAGGTGTGCTATGTATTGTGTAGGTAGTAGTAAAAATTAGGTGTTTCGCAGGTACACTGCGATATCTTGAACACTGTAAATCACAGAGATACATCTCTATTACCTAGGTACTGTGTACACGCAAAGATATAGCGATACTGTGCTGTCGATGGATGGGGATACTTAGAAAAGTACATATCGCTAGGCCATAGCTGCACGCGCTACGCAGAGAAAGATAAGTAGCTGTTTCGTACTTACACTAGCCTAACACAGTACACATCCCAGCGCCCACCACCCCTGGAAGGTGCCTGGCCTAAGTCAATGCCGCTCCCTCCAATCCCTCCCTCTGCCTCTCCTTTCTGACAATTTTCCTGATTTCGCCCACATCCCAATCCCAGCGAGATCCCAAGTGGACCGTCCATCCATCCATCCCCTTTCCCCCCCCTTCCTACTCCTTACACTGCTTCCAACCTGCCGCGCCTCGATCCAAAGTGGAATCCGATTTACACTCGCTTTTCGTCTCACTTTTTTAACTTTTCCTCCATCAGACTCGCACTCTCTTACCTTTCTTTCCAACCTGCCTGGACCTCCAAGGAACAGTTTGGGAGGACAAGAAACAGTAATAGAGACAGCCCCATTGCGGACTGTATCTTGTTCATTCGTTAACTAATCAACATCCACAATCGTTTGTTTCCCTCGTTCCCGGAGCACCTGGTAGCGACAACTCGGCAACCACAACCCGCTGGTGCTGTGGAAAGACAAAACGTGGAAAGAAACCCAATCGATCGTTCATATTTCGGAAGAAATACACCCGGCTTTCGCTTCACGGGAGACTGCTTACAGAACCTTGGAAGGACAAGGGATTGATTCCTACCAGGTGAGGAATAATAGCCTTAGATTTGTTTCCAGTGTTATTCACTCTACACCACCACCACAATAACAACAACGACAAACATTTGCCGATTCTACCTCCCAACACTGTCCACTCTATCTATCACTCTGTAAAGTCTGCATCAGCCTTCTATTGTCTCGGAAACAAGCCGTTGTGCGCCATCCCGCCTTACATAGCAAGGTTGACAGGGACTGGGTACCTTCGTTGGTCTTGTTTACCACCACCTAATCAGCACTACCTACTGCAAAATAGTAGCACAGCGACCAACTACCAATCCTCGATTCTACCACATACATTGCCTCTTTAAAGTTTCATTCAACTGCCATCTTCCCATGCACGCCTGCCAAGCATAATCATCGCTAAACTAGCAGCACCAGTACTTCCGAAAGTCATTCCAAGCGGCCTGTCCCGTACACCTTGTCAACAATCGATCGCTTCCCAATCCAATCGACACGTATTTGATTGATCAACTGGCTGTATCGTCACCATCTGTCACAGATACATGTTCTCGTGGCCGGCCACACTTCGATTGTTTCAATCTATTAATTCTTAATTGATTACACCGTTCGTCACCACACTCTATCTGCACAAGCTACGATAAATGAACGTAATTTGTATGTCAATAGTTATAGAATCGACGCGCCCGTATGTTGCTGACAAACATCAATCTCCAGAATCTGTTCCCATCGATTTGTTAGCTCAACAATCAAAATGTCGGGCTACCCAGGAGGTGGTGGCCAACACGACTATCGTGATGGCTATGGCCAGAATACCGATTCCTATTACCAAGATGACCACAACGGTCAGTACTACGACCAACACCAAAATGGCTATGATACACACGGCCAGCAACATAACGATGGCTACTATGATGAATCGTAAGTGGATACCACAATGTTAGGAGATGAACTCAACTAACTTCTATAAAGTGGCTATTACAACGCTGATGCCAACAACCCCTACCACCAAGATGGTGGCTACTATGATGGGCACGACCGGTATCAAAATGACTATTATGATGATGGCAATGGTGGATACTACGACCAGTATGCTCAGAATGGTGGTCAGGGTCGCCGCCGCGGTGACTCTGAAGAGGAATCTGAAACGTTCAGTGACTTCACTATGAGATCAGATATGGCACGTGCTGCAGAGATGGACTACTATCCTAGGGGAGACGAGCAATACAACGGCTACAATGAAGGCCAAACACGAGGCTATCGTCCACCCTCATCCCAGATCTCCTACGGGGGCAATCGCTCATCAGGCGCCTCCACCCCTAACTACGGCGGCATGGACTATGGTGGCGCCATTCCAAACGACCAACGATCGCGCGAACCATACCCTGCTTGGACATCTGATGCTCAGATTCCACTATCGAAGGAGGAAGTAGAGGATATCTTCCTCGACTTGACTGCCAAGTTTGGTTTCCAACGGGATAGTATGCGCAATATGTACGACCATTTGATGACGCTACTAGATTCGCGAGCATCACGAATGACGCCAAACCAAGCCCTTCTATCTCTACACGCCGATTACATTGGAGGTGATAATGCCAACTACCGAAAATGGTACTTTGCTGCCCATCTTGACCTCGACGACGCTGTTGGGTTCGCCAATATGGGCGGCAAGAAAGGAAAAAAGAAGAAGGCAAAGAAGAGTAAGAAGGGCGACCAGTCTGAAGAGCAGGTTCTTGAAGACCTTGAAGGCGATGATAGCCTCGAAGCTGCAGAGTACCGATGGAAAACTCGCATGAACCGCATGTCTCAGCATGATCGTGTCCGGCAAATAGCCCTCTATCTACTATGCTGGGGAGAGGCTAACCAAGTGCGTTTTATGCCAGAGTGTCTCTGCTTCATTTTCAAGTGCGCAGACGACTATCTCAACTCTCCAGCTTGCCAAAATTCGGTCGAACCAGTTGAAGAGGGCCTGTTCCTGAACAATGTCATCACCCCTCTATACCAGTACTGCCGAGACCAAGGGTATGAAATCTCTAACGGAGTTTATGTCCGACGGGAGCGTGATCATAACCAGATCATTGGTTATGATGACTGCAATCAGTTGTTTTGGTATCCAGAAGGTATAGAGCGCATTGTTCTCAATGACAAGAGTAAACTGATCGACGTTCCTCCCCAGGAACGATATTTGAAGCTGCAAGAGGTGAACTGGAAGAAATGTTTTTTCAAAACGTATAGAGAGACCCGATCATGGTTCCATTTACTCACCAACTTCAACCGTATCTGGATCATTCATTTGACAATCTTCTGGTTTTACACAGCATACAATGCCCCAACTCTTCTAGTCGGCCCAGCATACGAGCAACAGGTTAATCAACAGCCCACTGCGGCTGCCCAATTCTCCATTGTTGCGATTGGTGGTGGCATTGCTTCGTTGATTCAAATCTTGGCTACTTGTGCAGAATGGGCATATGTGCCTAGACGGTGGGCTGGAGCTCAACATCTCACCAAGCGTCTCTTGTTCCTCCTGGTTGTCTTCGCCCTCAATGTCGGTCCCAGTGTATACATCTTTGGTTTTAAAGATGCACAAACTAGCGCAGCTGGAAAGCCTATTGCCATCGTTCAATTTGTCATTGCTATCATTACTTATATCTTCTTCTCAATCATGCCACTGGGTGCTCTCTTTGGGAGCTACCTGACGAAGAATTCTCGGCAATATGTGGCAAGTCAGACATTTACTGCGAGCTGGCCCCACCTCAAGGGCAATGATCGCGCGTTGTCATACTTCTTGTGGGTGGCCGTTTTTGGTGCTAAGTTCGGCGAATCCTACAAATACCTGACGCTGTCGTTCCGAGATGCGCTTCGATATACCTGGCTGTTCGATGTCTCATCTTGCTTGGGTGATGCCGAGATTGGGGATATATTGTGCAAATATCAACCGACGGTTCTACTTATCCTTATGGTAGTGGCGGACCTCTTGTTCTTTTTCTTGGACACGTATCTGTGGTACGTGCTCATTAATACGGTTTTCTCTATTGCGCGGTCGTTCTATCTCGGCTCGTCCATTCTGAGTCCTTGGCGAAACATTTTCTCGCGCCTTCCCAAGCGTATTTACTCGAAAATCCTTGCCACTACAGATATGGAGATTAAGTACAAGCCAAAGGTTCTAATCTCCCAGATATGGAATGCAATTGTCATTTCAATGTATCGTGAACATCTCTTGGCTATCGATCACGTCCAAAAGCTACTGTATCATCAGGTTCCTTCGGAACAGGAAGGCAAGCGAACCCTGAGGGCTCCGACCTTCTTCGTTTCACAGGAAGATCACTCTTTCAAAACCGAATTCTTCCCAACGCACAGCGAGGCTGAGCGCCGTCTTTCTTTCTTCGCCCAGTCGCTCTCCATGCCAATTCCAGAGCCGCTGCCAGTTGATAATATGCCCACCTTCTCAGTCTTAATTCCTCACTATGGCGAGAAGATTCTGCTTTCGCTTAGGGAAATTATTCGTGAAGATGAACCATACTCTCGTGTTACACAGCTGGAATATCTCAAGCAGCTACATCCACATGAATGGGATTGCTTTGTCAAAGATACTAAGATCCTGGCCGATGAGACCTCGCAATTTAATGGAGACGACGAGAAGAACGAAAAGGACGATGCCAAGAGCAAGATTGACGACCTGCCGTTCTACTGCATTGGGTTCAAATCCTCAGCTCCTGAATACACCTTAAGAACGCGAATCTGGGCCTCGCTCCGATCGCAAACACTGTACCGTACTATTTCCGGTTTCATGAATTACAGCCGTGCCATTAAGCTCCTGTATCGTGTGGAGAACCCTGAAGTCGTTCAGATGTTTGGTGGTAACTCAGATAAATTAGAGCGTGAGCTGGAGAGGATGGCGCGCCGCAAGTTTAAGCTCATTGTGTCTATGCAGAGATACGCAAAATTTAAGAAGGAGGAAATGGAGAACGCCGAGTTCCTTCTCCGAGCCTATCCTGATCTGCAAATTGCCTATCTTGACGAAGAATCTCCGGTTGCTGAAGGCGAGGAGCCGCGTATCTACTCTGCTCTCATTGATGGTCACTCGGAAATATTGGAGAGCGGTTTGAGAAAACCCAAGTTCCGCATTCAACTATCCGGTAACCCCGTTCTCGGAGACGGCAAGTCCGACAACCAGAACCATTCTATTATCTTCTACCGTGGCGAATATATCCAACTCATTGACGCCAACCAAGATAACTACCTAGAGGAATGTCTCAAGATCCGCTCTGTCCTCGCTGAATTTGAGGAGATGAAGACCGAAAATGTATCCCCTTACACTCCCGGTATCAAGAATGAGGTGACCGCCCCAGTCGCCATTCTTGGCGCTCGTGAGTACATTTTCTCGGAGAATATCGGTATCCTGGGTGACGTCGCCGCTGGTAAGGAGCAAACATTTGGTACCCTCTTTGCGAGAACTCTGGCCCAGATTGGTGGTAAGCTGCATTATGGACATCCGGATTTCCTCAACGGTATCTTCATGACAACCCGAGGTGGTGTTTCCAAGGCTCAGAAAGGCTTGCACTTGAACGAAGATATTTATGCCGGTATGAATGCAATCCTACGTGGCGGTCGTATCAAGCACTGCGAGTACTACCAATGCGGTAAGGGTCGTGATCTGGGCTTCGGCTCAATCCTTAATTTCACTACCAAGATTGGCACTGGCATGGGCGAGCAGCTGCTCTCTCGTGAATACTATTATCTTGGTACCCAACTGCCTTTGGATCGGTTCCTGTCCTTCTACTATGCTCACGCCGGGTTCCACGTTCAGAATATTTTCATTCTTCTCTCGGTTCAAATATTCATGCTCGTCGCCATCAACTTTGGTGTCATCCGCCATGAGACCGTCAGATGTCAATACGACGTTAATGTGCCTATCACGGATCCACTATATCCCACAGGCTGCAACAACACGGATGCTCTCATGGACTGGATGTGGCGTTGCGTTATCTCCATCTTTGTCGTCTTCTTCCTGGCTTACATTCCTCTGGTTTTCCAGGAGCTTACAGAACGTGGCGTTCTTCGCGCCGCTACGCGTTTCACTAAACAGTTCTTCTCTGGTTCTCCCCTTTTCGAGGTGTTTGTGACCCAAATTTATGCGAACTCGGTTACACAAGACCTCACTTTTGGTGGTGCCCGTTATATCGGAACTGGTCGTGGTTTCGCGACGGCGCGTATTCCCTTCGGAGTCTTGTATTCTCGCTTCGCTGGGCCGTGTATCTACATGGGATCGCGTCTGTTGTTAGCATTACTCTTTGCGACCCTGACAGTCTGGCAGGGTGCCCTTATCTACTTCTGGTTGTCACTGTTGGCTTTAGTTATTTGCCCGTTCCTATACAACCCGCACCAATTTGCTTGGAACGACTTCTTCATCGACTACCGCGATTTCCTCCGCTGGTTATCTCGTGGCAACTCACGTTCCCATTCGTCATCTTGGATCGCCTATTGTCGGTTATCACGTACCAGGATTACCGGTTATAAGCGCAAAGCCTTAGGTGACCCTTCCGCTAAGCTATCCGCCGATGTTCCTCGCGCTGCTATTACCAATGTCTTCTTCGGCGAGATTGTTTCCCCGCTACTGCTAGTGGCCTCGACTCTGATCCCCTATCTCTTCATCAATGCCCAGACAGGTGTAATAGACAATGACCCTAAGGCTAAAGCGACATCTTCTCTCATTCGTATCGGCATTGTCGCATTGGCACCGATTGCCGTCAATGCAGGAGTGTTGTTCTTCTTCTTCGCATTAGCATGCTGTGCTGGTCCCCTTTTGAGCATGTGCTGCAAGAAATTTGGCAGTGTCCTCGCAGCTATTGCCCATGCCATTTCAGTCATTGTTCTTCTCGTTTTCTTCGAAGTTCTGTTCTTCCTGGAAGGTTTTGACTTCACCAAGACACTGCTAGGTGTTATCACAATCGTCGCCATCCAGCGTTTTATTCTCAAACTCATCATTTCAACAGCATTGACCCGTGAGCTCAAGACTGACCAAGCCAACATCGCATTCTGGACAGGAAAGTGGTATTCTATGGGCTGGCATTCGGTTTCCCAGCCGGCTCGTGAACTGCTTTGTAAAATCACAGAGTTAAGCATGTTCGGCGCCGACTTCATTCTTGGCCACACTTTGCTGTTCCTCATGCTACCTGTCATCGTCATCCCGCAGATCGACAAGTTGCACTCCATTATGCTTTTCTGGCTACGTCCTAGGTATGTAAATCCGAACTTGTAGCTGTTATTGACCTCATACTAACTTCTTGATAGTCGTCAAATCCGACCACCCATCTACTCAATGAAGCAGTCGAAGCTTCGCAGGAGACGTGTGATCCGCTACGCAGTGCTTTACTTTACCTTACTGGTTGTTTTCCTCGCTCTCATTATTGGACCTGCTGTTGGCGGCAAATTGATTATCAAGGATGATACTGTGTCATCATTGAACGATTCCCTCGGCTTCCGCTTGGTTCAGCCTAACAACAACGCCCTGAAGGATAACACTCGCAACCGCACTGAGACTGGCACGGGCCGCCCTGGCTACGACGGGCCTGGCACAGCTTCCAGGACAGAGTCTGCTCCTAAAGAGACAGACTCTAGTAGCGACGAGAAATTCCGATTCCTGTAGACTGCATTACGAAATCTTGTATCATAACATGACAGCTTCGCGGCAAGGCATAACGGTTCTGCCTAGGTCAGCTGAAGCTCCGCATAGAAGCTTGGTATTAATATGCGACACCTACTGTATTGGTTTTTGGGAAGCGGCGTGGTATAAATCCTTCACTGTGCTTTAATGTTCTGTTAGACATCCAGATATAAATATTTGATTTAACTTGACTCCTGTGCAAAATCTGCCTGTTCCGACTAGTTTATCTATCCTTTTCCAGTCTCCTAGTTTTATGTACTTTTATAGTACAGAACTAATTTAGTGTATATATCCGAATTAATTTCCGAGAGATTTGGTCAATTATGTGAACAAGTTGTAACTGGAAACGCATCAGTTGATGCCAAGTGCTCCTGCGTTTGTCGTAAGTACAGCTGGACTTTCACCTCGTTGCTATGATATTGGTTCTGATAGACATCTGTCTACTTAATAAAAGACTGATACATGTGTGATACCTACAAAATACAAAGGTTTCAAATATTGACTACTGAGTGCTATGGTACAACTTAACACGTCTTTCGCTATCGTTTATTTATATATTAGTAGGAGCGGTGTCCGTCACTACTTTATGAAGTATGCTTCTTAAGAGCTTGGTGTGTGCAAGTTGTGTTCGGCTCTTGAGAGGTAATCGTCGAAGGAATTGGCCTCGTAAGACTTAGAAATATATGATGCTGCATGTATGTACCGAGGCCGGAAGATGATTAAATATGGTATTATTCATTGTCTATGACTTAACATATCAAACGTCGTAGGCTGGGCGCTTGAAAACAGAGTTCACATTGAGTACTTGCTTTAAGAGAATGCTAGCAAGTCGTTACTGAGGAGAGAGTCATTGACGTAACAGAGAAAGATATGTTTATATGTGTACTTCTGTGGCCAGGTCATCATACATGTTGTTTCCTTTTTTAAATGCGATTCGAGGAAAGAGAGCAAAGGGAATTTCTCACACGGCCCTTTTGAGGAAGCTAGTTAGAGGCAATCACGAAGTGAGAGTGAGTGACTCACTAAGTGCCCTCCACGATACCCATCATCATTGGCGTTCACAGCGAACAGCGTTCCGAAGAACCTGATTTTTGGCGGCCGGTCGCGGCCCAGTTTTGTCAATGGCGAGCGTTCGGTAACCAAGCCAGGTAATGCAGTAGCCGGTTGACATATCAATAGCCTACAGCTATTGCTTCTGCAGAGAAGAGGAGAAGTTGTAGTTTCGGTTCTCGGGGTTTTCGTTCTGAAAACAGCACGGGGAGAGCTGGCCACGGATAATATGGCGCAAAGATACCCTACTCAACAAAGTAGGCAAGAATGTTCCCAGCCCATTGCTGATATCGCGTACATACATAGCACAATATCAAAAATCCAAATACCTCACCCAACCACGGACACGAGGAACTACGAAGAGAGAGTATCGCTGTCCCATCAAGTCTATGTGACCTTTGATAACGTCTTCCCTAATCCCAACCAGAGTAATTCTCTTGCTTAGTGCAAATTGACACTACTACCCCTTTTCATATTACGGTGCAGTTTCTACAAATTCAAACGCCCTTGTTTCCTAACACGCAGAATGAGTAAGCAGTCAGCAGCATTGACCAACCCAGACAATCCCGCCACCTCCGTCCGCGTTATGAGATTTATTTTGTGACTTCGGAAATGATATTCAAATCAGAGGACTAATACAGCCTATTCGCAATCTTACCATTAATACTATCGTCATCGCCACCTAAAACACTATATTACAGTACATCATTAAGTGAGATCCTGTATCGCTTCAACACCTGTGTAATAGAGACAAACATATCATAGTAGATTATCCATCTATCACCACTTAAGTAGTGGAGAGGCTCAGCAAGGTCCTGTGGCTTTTCGAAGATAATCGCAGCGCAAAGACGTCGTATCACAAACATTCGATCATAAGGTAAGTCACATGCTGGGATTAAAAGTAAAGAATAGTCTCAAGCATTAACTGCTAACATCAAGTAGAAAAGACTGCTTGCAAAATTGTATCGCGTCTCCAGTTCATATGTCTTCCAACCAAACCAGTTTCATTTCCCGTCATCAGCCAATTTGTTCTTTATTGTATTCCTGTGCCTTGAGCGTAAAATTCGTCTCGACTACACCATATACTCTTCGCCTTTCACCTAGCCTACTGATCACTAGGCGAGTATCGTCCTCCCATGCCCCAGAATTGCTCTGCCATGAACGTGCTTGCATCGGGTTTCTTCCACAGATCATTGAAGGCAGTAAATAGGAAAACATCAGCAGGGTTGCTGCTGAATGCGCTCTTGACTGAGGAGATGGCGTTGGATTGATGATCCAAGCCGGGAATAGCAGCGCCATTAGGTTGGCCTTGCCAAGGCCACCCGGTCTCGGTGACCACGACGCGCTTGGTGGGATCGGATAGTTTGCTTCGGATGTTCTTTATTGTAGAATCCACGAATGTGCCGGCATCGGGCGCTCCCGTGTTCGGATCAAAGAAGGGGTGACAATTGAACGCGCAGTAATCAGATTGGTCACACAGCTCTGGGTGGCGAAGAACTGCCACAAATGTGTCTACCACGACAACGGGACCGGTGTATCCAGCTGTTCGCAGACAAGAGCGCGCTCTATTAAGCGCAGTGAGTGACTGATCTACGGTCGCGCGACCATTGTTCACCAGTTCATTGCCGACCGATACAGTGTCCACCATGCTCCAGTCATTCTCAAGATCAGCCGCCATGGTAGCCACGGCTGAGTCGACTGTGTCAATATCAAAAATACCCAAAAAGAGCTTGTTTCCATACTTCTTAGCCGCTTTAGAAACTGTGGAAACTTGATCACAGTCGACACCATATAGACGGACTACTCCATAATCCTGAGAGAAGAGAGAGAAGTCTCTGTCAACTTCATCTGCAGTTTTGCAGTTCCCATCACCCTTGTAGGGGGAATATGTCACCCCATGAAGACCACTACCGGGAGAGGATGTATCCGATTCAGCTGAATCAGGCAGTGGGCTGGAGTCAGGCGTTTCTGCCGGAGTCACCAAGCTGGGCTGCTGCTTAGAGCTCGGCTCTGGAGTAAACTCGACAGCCGACGGTGTAGGGGATGACGAAATTGGAGAAGATTCTACCACCGGAGGCGTTGAATTTGGCGGTGGTGGTGGAGATGGTGGCGTTTCCTTCGGGACGTAGACGACGGTCTCCGTAGCGGTGCGTATAGGGTTTCCATACTGGTCAACATAAACAACAACCTCGGGAAACTCGGTAGGATCAGGATAGGAGGCATCGCTGATAGTGATTCTGTCCCTCTTCGCATGAAAGGCGCGATTGTTTCGGTGTTGGAAGCGGTGATGACCATGTTCTGGTCGATCCGTTAGTCACGCTTATTGCTCTCCTACTGCGGACGCTAGACCTAAGACTTACTAGGCTGTCCAACAGACAGACGAAGAAGGGAAAAGAGAGCGAGAGATATAGTAAAGAATCTCATGTTGACGAAGATGACGAAGGACCGAAGTGATCAAGTTTGGTGACGCTTCAGGGAATCAGGATATCGTGTGCAGAATACCAAGGAACAAATAACGAGTGACTGGGTTGTTAGCGCGTGGCAGTGGACAACCGAAAACAAGAAAACGAGTGACTTTTGATTTATTCGAGGGATTGACAAAAAAAGAAAACCAGGTAGGGGCATGAAAGCGGTAAAATGATAGGGCTGGACCATCAATCAATGACCATCAGGCGCATGAGTTATCGAGAGGATAAAAGGACGACAGGTGACATGGGTGACAAAGGCTCTGGGAAATGAATATGAGTTGTTGATGGAGAGGGGAGTCCAGAGTCAAGAGCGAGATCACCAAGGTCATGTAAGAATGATGTGGGTAGAAGTTGCTCCGGCAGTAAAGCAGGGACCAGAGTCGAAGTGCGAGGTATGACTACATGACAACATGACAACAGGATGTGGAATGCGAGTTCCGCGAGGGTCTCAAAGGACGGCAAGGCTAGGAATGACACCTTCCCAGGGAGATTATGGTAAGATTGACTAAGACAAGGGGTACAATGGCGCTGGTATGGCGTTTCTCGCTAGGGAAACCAAAGAAGGGGAACCAAAGAGAGAAAAAGAAACGGTTTTTGGAGCTCACCTCGATCTTGATGCTGGCAGCAGGTAGTATGTGCCGGACTCTTGTAGAAGAACTTTTGAGGAGATAAATCATAGGTTATAGGGATATAAGGCTCTGAACGTTGTAGGTTGCGTGTTGTGTATCTTGTAAGTCAGTAAGTGATGTTGATCAAGACGGTGAATGACTTGGGCACCGAGCGAACCCAGAGAGTGAGGGTCCCTTTAGAGGTAAGCCGCGACAAGTCTCAGAGGTCGAGGATGAGCTGAACAGAGAAAGAATGAAGCAACTGACTGCCCGTGCTTGGTGCTGCTGCTTCCTGCCTGCCTGGCTTGGAGATAACCTGCTAGATGGCTACACACGTGCCTACCTCGGTGGCGGTATGTTATGTGGCCGAAGAAATGGCACTCCCAGCTAGGTAGGTCGAAGACGGGTCGACGGGTCGACGGGATGGTGGAGGTTCGTTGTAATTGCGGTGTTGATGCTTGTACCATCGGGTCACGTTTGTGGTCGTACCTCTCGGGAAAGGTATCTCAAGTCCACACTCGTTCGTACCTACCTACCTACCTACCTGACTTCACACCGTGGAGGAAACAAGGTACGTGTGAACATGTCATGTAATGCCTCCTATTTGATGTGCCGGCTATAGTTGGCTGGTGTGTCTCCTCGTTTCTTTGTGTGAGGTCTTTGTATGAGGGAGCCGAAGAGACAAACATATCTATCTACCTTCTACATACGTAGAACAACCTAACAACACATTTGAAGCAGGCACGGCCGTCCGCGGTAGGTACCTGCTTACAACCAACCACGCCTCTCCCCAGAATAGCCCAATCGTCTTGATACAATCGCCACCTGCCTACATAAGGTAATAACTATGTACCTACCTGACCCTGCTTCTCAGGATGAAGATAGTACTGTCGGCGGTATCCACGTGGTGGCCTTCTGGTGTTGTTGAAGGCTGTCAAACCTGACCTTGTGTTGCCCGGGAGTCAATCCAAGCAAACCAAACCTCCCGCCCTCCACAAGGCGACAGCAGCCTATCTGTCTACTCCCGTCACATGGGGCCTACACTTAGGTGAAATCGATACACCCGGAATTCGCACTTGTACATGTAGATCATATGTATTAGCAATTAGCATCTATAGTATGTATTAGCGCCTTTCCCGCCTCCTTCCGCGTTGGCCATCTAAAACCGCACCCACCACGTATACCTCGTAAAACCATGACAAAATGTACAGTGTTGCTCTCGCATGCCACGTCACGATCCAAGTCGTGAAACACAGAAACGGAGCTGCAGAAAATGATACCTTGACTAGCTGCCCGACCCCGAGAGGCGGTTTGTCTTCCGCGTCATGACCTTCGTGATGGCGTGTCGGATTGTCGTGCCTGCCTTCTCTATTTCCTTCTTGGACAGCCCAGACGTGATACACACTTTGAGCGCTGGCTGGATGTTGATATCAGAATCCTTGGGCTCAAGGCTGTTGATCAACGGCATGATCTTTAGTCGTGTGATGAGCACTCCGTTGACAAGTGACTGTAACGTAACACATTAGTATTCAGCCGTCTCGCTCATGATGCTACGCTTTAAAAAAAAAAAAAAAAAAAAAAAAAAAAAGGGAAAAACACTAGAGAATAGGCGGGGAAAGGGGGCAGCGTTGGATATTTCATGAATTGCAAGGACTTACCTCCTCCACGCAGTCCGAGAAGAGCCGCTCCTGGTCCTCAATGCTGAATCGCCGCGCCTGGATCACATCCGGCTTGAAGACGAGAATCATGATGGGGTTCTCAGGGTCACTTGTGCAAACCACCCAATCGCTACGGGGGTCCAATTGTGCTCGCATCGCGCGGATATTCTCGCGACACTGGATCAATATGTCGGGATTGCACTGCAACACGTTCAATGTCTCACTTGCCGTCACGGCCGACATGGCAGGGAGAGCCGCTGAGTATGTGTAGGCCATAGCATTGATGCGCTGGTGCCTGACAACATCCGTAGACCCGGCACAGAAGCCGCCTGCGGCACAGAGGGGCCCTGAAAGAGAGCCAATGATGACATCCACGGCTTCGGCATCGACGTTCTGCGCCTCCGTCAATCCACGGCCATTACGACCGAGGACGCCGAACGAATTGGTCTCATCAAGAGCAAGGCGAAACTTGTACTTTTCCTTGAGTTCGATCTAAGGTAATTGTTAGCATATGTGGGATAGGTATGTCAACGTCTTGTACACGGATTTCGATGCGGGCGAGTGAGTTGGCTGCTTACAAGTTTCGGCAAGTCAGAGCAGTCGCCAACCATCTCGAAAAGACCTTCAGTGACAACAAATCGTCTGGTCAGGATCTTCTTCTTTGCCTGTTCCTCCGCTACCTTCGCCATAACACGCTCCAGATCGGCCATGTCGTTATGGTTATACCACCGGATCGAGCTACGTGAGGCCTCCAAACCCTTGCGTATAGAGTAGTTCACCATCTTATCGGCCACAATGACGTCGCCACGCTTACAGAAGCAGGGAATGACACTCGTAATGGTTGAGAAAGCATGGGCGTAGACGATGGCGCTCTGGGTTCCAAGAAACGAGGCAATGTCCGCCTCAGTCTGCATGTGAACATCCTGTGTACCGTAGAACTGTGGTGGACCGCAGGGGCCGACGCCGTAGGTACGCAGAGTCTGGATAGCCTTCTCTTTTATGGATTCGCTGGCATTGAAATTGTAGAAATTGTACGAAGCAAGGTTGGTTACCGTCCTGCCGTTTCCAAGTTTGACCTTTGGGCCCGTCGGACTATCCACCAGGTTTTTGTCAGCATGTTATGCAAGCCCACAAGTACCAGGCACGTTGGGAATATAATCAGCCATTCCTCGCTTACCCAACAACTACAGGTATCCTCTCGGCTTCGCTCTCCTCGAAAGCAGTCCGCTCGGCGACGAGAGGCTCTGGCTCCCAGTCCTTGACGAGTTCATCGATCTCATCTTCCCTCAACTTGATGTAATTGGAGCCGTGGGTGGGATAGGAGGGTGATAATAGGTAGCGCACGAAGAAGATGACAAGGACAAGCTCGATAGCGGAGCGGATGGGATCGTTCTGGTAGCTCGATCGGACGTATCGGATTAAGACGGCACTACCGGGCACTCTTTGGAAGGCCTCGAACAAGCTATGCAGCGAGGCCAGTATGTACGTTTGCGCCTCGTTTAGATCCATGGTCTTCGGTGTCGGCGATGGGATGCAATTCACAAGAGACCGGATCTTGATGTAGAGCTAGATCAAAACAGATAGAAGTTACAGAGGCAAAGCAATGCTTAACGGCCGGTGTCAAGGGGCAATTGGTAAGACCTTTGCTATCCACCAAAGCTAGGCATGTCTTCCTACATATGCATATGTAGATATCTTTTCTGAATTTGGCAAATTAAGGGTCGTCGGACATTTTGTATTCAACTGGAGCCTGGAGAGTGGAGGGGTGTACTACTGTAAGTAAGTAGGTGCACAATTACAGGCAGGATCCGCTAATTGGGCCGTGGGCCGACGCGCTATCAGCGTGCCGGGGGTTCCGTTTTTAAGCACTCCTATTTCATGTAAATTAGGTACTTGCAGCACCTAATTGAGAACCTTGATGTTCCCCAAGGTATCTACGTCTAAGTACTTAGTTAGATAGGTACATTTAAGCTACCTACGATATCTCCACCCCTAGGCGGAAAAAGGTGAGATGCGGAGGCCTCGTACAGGACCATTTACATCGAAGCTGTATTCAAATCACGAGAGGAATATGTTAGTCTACTGTAAGTCCCTATATAAGGCAAATAGGCTTTGTGAAAAGCTCAACGTTAGAGATATATTCGATCAAAAGTAGTATCCCGGCTTCAGCAGATATACCTACTATCGTACTTCTAGTTCCTTGATGAAGGCTAAGCTCTCGCTGCCATCGACGACTTTCGCGATGGGCGATACACGAGCTCTATCCTCGCCGGTACTGGCAGCATGCCGAATATATGCTTCTGCGACCTTAATCCACATTGCCTTTTCTGTCGTGCTTGCTCCGGAGCCCTGCCAGACCCAGACCCTATTGCCTGTATCAAGCAGAAAGACATCACTGCTGTCAAGATCAAATTTGCTGATTTCGTACCCTTCTTTGACGACGTTGAACTCGAGTTTCCCTGAAGCATCAGATAGGCGCCAGAGCCTTCGTGGCCGCTGAGTCTTGTGAGATGAGATGGGCCTCGCTGACCTGAAAGGGCCTTCAGCACTTTCACCTCCCAGTACTGTAAAACATAGCATTGGTCAGTTGTCACCTTTGGACTTGAGATTGAGAAGAGGATAAGGGTGACAAGTGTTCCTAGAATGCCACCGCAGCCGTGATTGTGTCTGTTCACTCTCGACCCAACTCAACTTGGCCGAACAAGGTAGATACTGAAGAGATGGAAGGTAGGGTTAGCTTACAGCTGACTACTGTTCGCGACCTCGCCTCAGACTGTGAGAGCACCTCGACATCGATGCGCTTTGCAATTGTCATATCGTGCACTACTTGGGCCGCCTTTGCCTTCTCCATTGGACTGCAATTCTTGCCCTGCCAGACCCAGATCTTATCATGTCGCTCTAGTATAAAAACATCGTCCTCGTCGAGACTTTCCCAGATCGGCTCGACCTCGTAGACCATGACCGAGTCAGCTCGCTTGGCCGAAGGATGTTTGAAGACTCGTAGGAGCATCTGGGTTTCCTTTAGCTCTTCCTCTATTTCGACATGTGTGAATCCGGATGCTATGCCACCAGAGAGCATGCGAATGCGCGGAAATAGAGCTACGAAGTCATCTGAAAGTTCATTCTGAAGCTCGCGGTGTTGTGTTGCCGCCCCGTGCAGATACTCGTCAAGTTCAACTGTTTTGTAAGCTGCCGTGCCTGCCTCGTCTTGCGTGGTCTTGCTGCCGAGCCAGAAGTAGACATCGTAGCCTAGCTTTTCCTCGCCGTCTTTACTCCCAACCTTGTATGAGTGCAAGATGATGTAGCTGTCTCCTTCATGGAAATCTCCATATCGGTGCTTGGGCCATGGGACAACCTGGAAATCTTCGATTCGCCAGATATGCAGCCCGGGCGTTTCTCCCACACCCTGCCAAGCTGGCTCGGTAGCTGCAGAGTTGTACTTGACCTTGTGGTCAATTTCGCTGCCAATAAACTCAACGTTGCTGTCACGCCAGTCATCTACCGTCAAGTGCACTAGATCCTGGTGCGGTGGCATCGTACCAGCTATCGTATTATCAAGTCTTTAATGAGGGATGTCTTTATACTGTTAACAATGAGCATAGAGCTAAGTAAGGTACGGAAAGAAGGGATATTTGAAACTTGAACCTCCCGTTGCACCTGACGTAATGAGGTAGATGTGGAAGCTCAGATCCCTCCACCTCCAGTACTTACAAGGTGGGGAAACTGAAACAAAGCCTATACTTGGGGCTGACCATGTTCACCGTGGCAGAATTTCCATCTTCATAGAATGTATCATGGGCTTGCATTGGTCAAATCATTACAGAACGCATTCCCGAAATACTCTGAGAGCCTGTTATGCACGTAGATCTAAAGATCTACCACTAAGGGGTTCGATATCGAAGTCAGGAACTACCTACATCATTGTATTGAATATATATATATATATATATAGGCATAGAGAGTGGGTGACAGTCTAATCGCAACTAGGGAAGAATGTACTAAAAAAGAAATCAGACTGGGAATCGAACTGATAGCTCCCTAGGTCTTATTTACACAGGACGAGAAATCCACACCAGTTCTTCAGAAGCGAACTCTGGGGAAGAAGCCCTGGGGGAAAAGGATGATGGAAAAATTGCAAAAAAGAAAATCATATAATTGCAAAAATCGAACGCGTGGTTCACAGAGTGTTTCCAAAGATTACGGAGTGGAGTTAGTTGGGTTGAACACGGGCTGGAAAGGTAAAAGGCATTTACAGCGTACGGTATTCAATCCCACTCCGCCAAAGCTGGCTTTAAATATTACTTATATAGTAGCAATGGGTGACTGAAGAGCCCTGGTGGGGCATGTCATCCCTTTCAGCCGGCGACAACTGTCTGCTAGTCGGCTGTACCTTGATACTTACATCCAGCGCCAACCCGACTTACATCACAAAGAGGGGTGATTGATCGATCCCGATCTTACAGGTTCCTTCTAGCCTCGAAGCCAAACGGCAATAAAGCTCCTTGCAAAATCCTAATATCTTCAATATTTCAAATCGTCATCAGTAGCATTCTACAATGGCTGCCTGTATCTTTTGCAGAATCATTAAGGGTAAGTTTGCGTCTCTGCACCCCTCACATTGAGAGTTTGGGCTTGCTTGGCATTGCATTGACGTCTCAACAACACCAAATCTGCTCACCCACTCCAAATACAAGCTCTTCTTCCCGTCACTATTCCTGACCAAGCATTCTACGACTGACATAAATCACAGGAGAAATCCCCTCATTCAAGCTCTTTGAGAGTGACAAGACCTTGGCCTTTCTGGATATCGGACCTCTAAGCAAGGGTCATGCCGTAAGCAAATATGCGAGCCCATCAAGCCGGGTGCAGCTACGCTTGTGCTTTTCCGCTGAATACTCGGCGTTGCTGACATAACCGTATGCCATGATAGCTTGTGATTCCCAAGTTCCACGGCGCGAAGTTGACGGACATTCCTGATGACCATTTGGCTGAAATCCTGGTAAGTATCTACCCCGAGACTCTTCTTCATCAGGCTCTGAAGAGACACCGTACTGCAAGTAATCATGAGAGAGAGAGAGAGAGAGAGAGAGTAGTTTCTGTATGCGCGTGTACGTGAAGCAAGGAGAGAGTGAATGAAGGCGTATGAATGTGTGTCCTTGTGGCCGTCAACATGAAATGAGAGATACATAGCTAACAACAATCTCACTTCTGTCCACATACAGCCTGTGGCCAAGAAACTCGTCACGGCTACTGGAGCCACCGACTACAATATCCTGCAAAATAACGGCAGAATCGCGCACCAGGTCGTCGACCATGTAAGCATTGCCCTATTCCTCTAACACAAAATTAGCTATGCCCTCTCCGTGATCCACTACGAGACAGTATCTACACTCAGAGGGTTAATTCAATGGTCTTTCAACTTGATAGGTGCATTTCCATATGGTAAGCACAGCAATTATCTTATCAATACCGACATGTGCCCGGTCTGGCAAACTCGTGGGAACTAATAACGAATGTAGATCCCCAAACCGAATGAGAAAGAGGGACTTGGCATCGGCTGGCCAACACAGGAAGCCAACATGGAAGAATTAAAGAAGTACTTTGAAGAGGTCAAGTCAAAGATGTGAGTGTAGTCAGGCACTCTCGGTCATATTTGCCATCGACTTATTTGGACGATTCAATTGGTAAGCGACATATACATAGTCGAGGCGGAGAATCACAAGACCTGGCCTGCGTATTATGTATCTATTGGTCCTTTTAGATTGAATCGTAGCCATAACCTGCAACAGCCTCTAGCCTTCTCTGAACCCGTTTTGGCCCAATGTCATAGCTAGTTGATACAGGCTTTAATGTCCATATACAACCTCGTGCTGTTTTGCAATTCAAAACCGCCAGTCTATCTACTTTTCCCCCGTGCCTCATGTACTTAATCTAAATCATCTGCAGACGTTTCCACGGCTGTGGTTGCCGCTAGAGCACCGTTTGTAGTTCCCACGGCTTGCCAAGGAGGATAATAATCAAGTTTGCCATCAGGCTTAATGACTCCTATCCTGTCGTAGAGTGTTCTTGACCGAATGTAGGGGTCTAACCGCCAATATTGCTCCCTGAGCTTTTGAGCGATAGCGTTCCGTTGTGATTTGACAGCTGTGCGCTTGGTGGCATCTTCTTCGTGGATCCATTCAATTGTCTTGTTTTCAAATTCCTCGTAGATCGCCTCTCGTTCCTTGATGAGCTTATCTCGAGTCTCCACATCGCTCATTTTGTCGTTCTCGCCGCGCACAGGTTCTATGTATTCATACGACCAGCCAGAAGTACCCTCCATCTCGTCGGGTATCTTGTCTTTGTCGATGAACTCCTCTAGATCCTTCACATTATTTGTAAAATGTACCTTGCTCGCCACGACGGGATCTAACCACCCGCGAATAATTCTCCACACCCCTATAAGAGGAGATACTTAGCAGTGTGACAAGGAAGAATACTATGACTTATACTGACCTTGGAACACCCATGGGGCTTTGTGTACAAGCACGACACCCAAGCTTTCGGGATAATTGGCCTCGAAACATCGAATCATGAACTTGACTGGGGTATAGTCCTAGGTTGCGTCAGTATCGCCAGAGGTCATCCATGAAGTTGTGAGATTTACCATATTTGCTAACGAGAAGCCAGTCAAGTCGAAGACAATACACTGCATTGAGGTCAGCTTAGATAGAAGGACGCATACATAGCAGATGAAGTACGTACACCCGTGTCCACTGGTGGTGACAGGAGGAACCGGGTCGTCTCGATAAGATAAACAGTATAGCGCTCGAGTGAAGTCTCGGACTGCTCGCCGGCCTTATGCAATCGAGCCCTACAAACGCAAATAGGCCGTCCCGCTTTGTCAATTCCGTAGCAGTAACTCTTCCCAAGCCGCATCTGTGCTAAGAAATCTTCTCCCTCCTTTTTGACGGACTCGTCACTACTCTGCTCGTCGATCAATGCTTGCTCCTCTCCCTTGACCATGATGTCAGTGTCTACGCGCATCTCCGATGCTCTCCAGCTCATTGTTGAGACCATCATGACGAGAGCCCTTTGCAGGTCCCACTTTCGAGCCCGTAGAAAGCGCAATAACAAAGCATCGGGGTTGTCATGCTTCACCATAGACCATATCGTAGCTCGAATCTCTTCGGGCGTATGCTTGGCTAGAGTCTCATGGTATGCCTTGCCCTCGCCCCATTTGTCTTCGGGATCGTTCTCCTTTGGGACAAAATTGGCCGCGTCTTTCTCTGTCTTGTTCTCTTTAGCCTTATCCTTCCTTTTCTTAAAAGGATTGAGTCGCTTTTTCTTAGGCTTATCTGAACCAGCAGTCATCGTCTTCGGTTGTTCTCCAAGCGGCGTGGGCGTCTCCCCCTCAGCGCCATCTTCATCAAAGAGGCCACATATTTGTAGGAACATCTCCCAGAATCTGCGCAACTTGTCCTCCTCTTCTTGGGTAAGGTTCCCTGGTCTACCGGGGAGTGCCGCCATGTCGTAGTCGGGATCTGTGCCGGGGGATTGAGGGTAGACTATCTCGTCTTCAAGGTCCAAGACGTCGGGAGAGGTGTTAAAAGTGAAGTTGTATACCACAAGTGCGGCCGCAATCAGTGGGATGAGATAAAAGGTGTATGAAGTGGAGCTAAGAAGGGAATTGCGACCGGAGAATTGAGAGGCCTGGGATGATCCAATGCATACAGCAGGTTCTCGGCTGAAAAGTTGACGGTGAAAAGGACGTCTAACTAGGCAGACAGCACCACAGGAGGTCCCGTTGGCAAAAGGTTGATTCGACGCTGCGACGGCAGATGCAGAGGTATCGGCAGTAGGATGATTAGCAGCGCATGAAATGCGACCGACTTGAGTCCAAGCGGGGTCTGGGATTCCGGATTGAGAAACGGGCCGGTCTGGCGGTGAAAATGAAGACGAAGGCGACAAGGGAGATGAAAAGCGGGCAGTGAAATACAGAGGTCGAAGATGCAAAGCTAATTGAGGCAGAAGAGGTGCAGAGCCCGAAGTAAGGCGGGATGGCCTCATAGAGCTCAAGTAACACCTCTATTAGGTAGCTTGTGGATGCTACCTACCTTACTATACGATGTACTGTAGGTCGGCACGTATGCGTACATAGGTATGCAGTGAAACTACCTTTAGGGGGTAGAGGGGTTGAAGATGACGACGTACCTACATAGTGGTAGGTAGGTAATGTCCGGCTGAGCCGAGAGGAGGCGCAGTCGACTCGGATAGGTAGGCAGGTAGACACTTAGCACTAGGTACTTCGTAGGTAGGCTCGGTAGGCTACCTACAACTACATGTAGTGTACAATATTGGGGACATGATTATGTGGTAGTGTGAAGAGTCAAAGGCAACTATTATAACTTCTACATAGTAGTGGCAATTTCACTACGTTGCGCTTGAGTTGCCTGGGTGTGAACAACAAGTTGCTGTGACATGTCCATCATCAACTACGTAGGTATGTAAGTAGGTATGTACCTAAGGTACCTACCTGGTAGCTAGGTACGTTGGAGATAGTAAATACCTAGGCCATGATGCGCCGAGACTCATTCTCCTATTGCTACCCACTTAGCTTAGGGATGGGAACTGCATACCTAAGGTGTAGCAGGTAGCCAACGCCAAAACACATATCGGAAAGAGAAATTACGGAGTCATGGCTATAAATGTAATGAACTCTTCTGCAGCTTGAGACTTGAAAATGTTACGTCACTGAGGGATGGAGGGACAAAGAATAGAAAAGAGAGAGCACGTGTGTAACAGCAGCCCCGCTACAAGCAGCCCCGCGAATCACCAAAATATACTGCCTACGGTCAATTCAATACCAAGGTACCTACCTAAACGATAACACTGCTGGCAAAGGTCAACATAGGCAGCGTTGCTTAACTGTAACACCGTAACATTCACAGCAAAGACAAGGAGACGATTCTAACAACACTCAACCCTCATTTGTAATTGTCACGATTTCCTTGATCCCTACACATCTCCAGAGGCGGCCATGTCTACCAGCGAGGGCCACGGTAGTACGAAGCGAGCGCGTTCCAACTCGCGATCACGACCTACAACACCCCTTCGTCCCTCGTCGCGCTCCTCCTTTCGCGAATCGGCCCAGAGAAGTGTTGACGGCCATGAACCATTCCCGCTGAACGCCTTTGAGCCTGCCTTTGCCGAATTATCAGATGCTGTAGCCGACCTCGAGGCCAACATGATGCACTTTCAGCTAATGCATGAAAGCCTGGCTCGGTTCGGCGAGAGTTTTGCGAGTTTCCTGTACGGCCTAAATATGAACGCCTTTTGCGTCGACTTCCCCGAAGTAAGCGAGCCGCTTGGTTGGCAACCACATAGCTGGCCGTAAGCTGATATGATGGGTTTAGGGGCCAATTGCCGAGTCATTCCGTAGGGCCCAACAACACGAGGAGCAGCCAGGTAATGATGATATGAAAAATGAAGGTTTACAATTCAGAAAATAGTCTAATTTGATATATTCTATAGTCCGGTCTCGGAGCACAGAACGCGGTGAACTGGACGGCGAAACAACATTTATGTACGACTCATTTGATTGTCCTCTTTTACCACTGTATTTTAACCATCGACTTAGGACTACTGACATGTCCTTCGTGGAAAACCCACCGACTGCCTCCAAACCGACCCCTAAGAAATTCGCAGCTGCCGATAACCGACAATCGCGCGTACCCCCGCCATCACGCGGCGGTACCCAGTCGAGAGGACGGAGTGCATCGGGTCGAGGTCGGCCGAGTGGTCTTGTACGGCCTCGGGCTCGTGGACTCAGATGATGAAAGCCTTCCGATTTTTCAATCTATCCTTTACCACCCTTAAGGCGAGTTGCATTATGTTGAGCTCCTCCAAGGTACGATGTACACAACCGCATCTCCCTTCCCTGTACAGCAGAGCGCAACAGCATCAACGCATGATTAGTATAGGTGGGCAGTACATGATGACGACAAGACCAAGTGAGAATATCTATCATAGATAGGATTCCCTCGTCGCTCAGGTAGTCATCTCAAGCTCGTTTTCGACGGCTTTGTCGGCTCTGTAAGGATCCTCGTTGTTGGTACAAAGGCCGACGGCGGCTTCGGCTTCTTTTTGCGTGTAAGGCGCCTCACGAAGCTGTTTTACTCTGTGTAGAGATATGCATGTTAGTTTAGATACCCATGTGCCACCCAAGGCATCACTTCAACAAGAGACATGGTTCGAGCATACCGTCTCTTGTGTGGTTTCCCCTTTCTATGTAATACCAAGTTGACTTCGGTATCGTACCACTTTGCGCATTCCACGCAGTACCATTTCCCTAATCCCGGCAAGTCCTCCTTCGACTTGGTATCCTTGTACTGGGTCAAGTGTTTGGGGTTGAGGAGATCGGCTTTGATCTGGTCAAGATCCCTTGTCTTCCGACGGGTCTTGGTAAGTGTACGCTTGTTTCCAACGCCCATTGTGGGTGGTGTATCAGGGTCAATACTATGCGGGTCGAGAATCACATGTAGATGTTGCTAGAGGATGTCACGCGGTGAATTACTATTGATTTTTCGCACGATAAGGCATCCCAGCATCTGGGATATCACAATCAGAGGTGGGTCGAGAATTGAAGATAAAATTTGGTGGGGTTTCCTGTGGCTTGAAATTTCCCACGCGGCGGTGGCTGCGAGCCCAGGCGTGTAAAAAACGGCTGCCAGATGGCAGCTCAAGCTTGGCACTGATAACTGCGACGGGAACAACCGACTTTACTACCATATCTGAATTCGTTCGCACTGGCAGGGAGACCTCATCACCTTGGTTCTACTATAATTGTACTGTTGCGTCTGGTCTGTCTAAAGCGCCCATACATACGGCATTGCCGACTACAGTGCACTCTAAGCATAGATCGCTTTGAGGGAAATAAAATTCTCGATTCGGGGTACATCCGATGACATTGTCGGAGTCATCCGATCAGACCCCCCCTACGCCGAGGCAATGAGTGGAAAAGTTTACTGACAGGCTTTGCCTCTCCACCGATTGGGCAATTGGCTCATGACCCCACTAGCCCTTGGTCTCCAGACCCTGCAAAAATTTATCCTGGCGACTGGTAGCCATGAACTGGCTTCACAGCAACAGCTCGACAGGCTAACATACCTACTTGCATGACTGCTCAGTTTAGGGCTACACGAGTGACGCAGGAGGTTATTCCACGAGTTTTTCCCCCTTACTCCTTTACTACAGAGTACATGTGATGCATACATAGGATGTGAGGAACCGAGCTAAGTTTCTTTACTCTGAGTAGCTAGGAAACATGTCTTTCGTGGAAAAAGCCTCATCCGCAAAGGCCAGAATCTGCGGTTGCAGGCTGTATGCCCATTAGACTATGTAGGCAGGTTATCGCGGTGGAGTGCATACTAGGTAAGTCAGAGTCGCTGGCTGAAGCTAGCCTAGGATAATGTTGTTTTTCAGGTAGCCTACTATGAATTAGGCCGAGGGTATTGTGTTTTTTGGGTATGGATTTTTGTGGTTAACAGGTGTTACCGACTCAGTCGACTCAGTCGTGGAATAGCAGCCGCTGACTATGGAGAAGAGGCAGCTAGGTACATAGTCTGTTGGGGTATCGTGGTAACAAATCAGATAGACAACCAAAGTACATAAGAGATCTGTTATGCATCTCGATTGACCTACTATGTACCTAAAGCAACTACATCAAGGCGACATTGTGCGAGATGGATATACATGGGAGCTGTTGCCATACTGTCGTCGTCCAACGCCACTTAGCATACAGGACGTTGTCGTCCTTACTTATATGTAGGTGTACTTATGTAGTAGGAAAAAGCTCGACGCACAAGGCAATCTGTAGTGTACAGTACTTAGCAGCCGCTTTCATCCTTGTTGAATCCACATTCCGGGGAATCGTGGCCCCCAAGACCAATCAATCAGATCTATCTATATTATGTGTACTGAGTGTGATGAGTGAAGCATGCAAGTATGTATCATGGTGTGTATTGTGTATGTTGTGTGTGGGTGGCGTGTGCATGACAGGACTCAACGAGCTACATATCGACAATTCTAGCAGGACGAGGCTATGGAGGTAAGAGAGTACCGGTATGGCCAATATGTAGTGTAGTAGTGTAGCTTTTGAGGGGAGGGGAACGGAGATGTGGAAAGACGTCGTTTACTACCTATGTATACTTGGATGCCATGGTGGGCTGCGGATTGTGAGGGGCCTACGAAATACGTAATAGGTAAGCTCTCCTGTGTACTCCGTACTTACCTACCAAGTAAGTACCTAGGTATGTAGCTAGGAAGGTGAGGTCACCCTGCCTTCGAGATGGCCACAAGCAAGTGCCAGGGAGTAATTAGGCTGGTGCTGATTCGTCCGTTCAGCCGACCATGGCAAGCCAGCACCCAATCCGACGACTGGGCAGCGCTAGGCCCGAGGTACCTCCATGTCGTATATCTGGTTGTATCTGGTGGGCGCGACAGACTGCAAGTACCAACGCCTGCGCTGCCCCGCCGCGAGGTACCTACATGCTGGCCCCCCTCCAGTAGGGCCGTCCGACAGGCCCTGCTAGCACCGAAGTGGGAGGAACCTGCTTCGGCTCCATTCACCCATCCCATCGCTTCTTTTATCACGATCCGGCATCCTCTCCACACCCTTTTCTCCCTCCTCTTTTCCATTCCTCCAACTTCTTTCCCGCCTTCTCCTCTCCATCACCAGGGAGTTTGGTCTTCTTGCCAGTCTGAGACTGTTCGTGCTATTGCTTCCCCTCTCAGCTCTTATGGTATCATAGGGAGGCTCAATTGCTGAGATTGTGCTCGTGTGCTCTCGTCGCCACATTTTATACATCTCAGGATCTCAACCCTCACGATGCTGGCCACGCGACAAATCCTGGGCAATGTTGCCCGTTCGCGCGTCGCCGCCAACTTGGGCCTTCGCAGGACAATGGCCACCGTCTCCGACTCCCCCCTTGACAAGAAGGTAAGCCAGTTTGCGCCTCTTACACAAGCCGACTCGGCTCGAGTCGACTCACCAGTGGTGATCTCATCTGCCCCCGTATACTAAAACTCTCTTGATATACAGGTCAAGCAAAACAACTGGGAGGAGGGCAACTTTATCAACTACAAGAAGATGTCGGAAAATCTGTCCATCGTCCGCTCGCGTCTCAACCGCCCTCTTACCTTTGCGGAGAAGATTCTGTACTCTCATCTTGACGATCCCCATGGCCAAGAGATTGAGCGTGGTGTCTCTTATCTCAAGCTGCGTCCCGATCGCGTGGCTTGCCAGGACGCTACTGCCCAGATGGCTATCCTGCAGTTCATGTCCGCTGGCATGCCCCAGGTTGCCAACCCCACCACTGTTCACTGCGATCACTTGATCGAGGCCCAGATTGGTGGCGAGAAGGATCTTACCCGTGCTATCAACATCAACAAGGAGGTTTACGACTTTTTGTCCTCGGCTTGTGCCAAGTACAACATCGGTTTCTGGCGCCCCGGTTCTGGTATCATCCACCAAATCCTTCTCGAGAACTATGCTTTCCCCGGTGGTCTTCTGATTGGCACTGACTCGCACACTCCCAACGCTGGCGGTCTGGGAATGTGCGCTATTGGTGTTGGTGGTGCCGACGCAGTCGATGTCATGGCTAACCTTCCTTGGGAATTGAAGGCTCCTAAGGTGATTGGTGTCAAGCTGACTGGACAGCTGTCTGGCTGGGCCGCCCCTAAGGATATCATTCTCAAGGTTGCTGGCATCCTCACTGTCAAAGGTGGCACTGGTGCCATTGTTGAATACCACGGACCTGGTGTCGAAAGTATCTCTGCCACCGGCATGGGTACAATTTGCAACATGGGTGCTGAAATTGGTGCTACTACCTCTCTCTTCCCCTTCAACGACCGTATGCACGAATACCTTGCCGCCACTAAGAGAACTGCTATTGGCGATTACGCTCGCAGCTATGCTAAGGAGCTCCGTGAGGATGAAGGTGCTGAGTATGATCAGCTCATTGAAATCAACCTTTCCGAGCTTGAGCCTCATATCAACGGCCCTTTCACACCTGATCTAGCTACACCCATCTCCAAGTTCAGCGAGGCTGCCAAGGCCAACAATTGGCCTGAGGAGCTCAAGGTTGGTTTGATCGGATCCTGCACAAACTCTTCGTATGAAGACATGAACCGCGCCGCCTCTATTGCTCGCGACGCTCTAGACCACGGTATTAAGGCCAAGTCTGCTTTCGTTGTCACCCCTGGCTCTGAGCAGATTCGCGCTACTATTGCGCGTGACGGTCAGCTCCAAACTTTTGAGGAGTTTGGTGGTACAATTCTCGCCAACGCCTGTGGTCCCTGCATTGGACAATGGGACCGACAAGATGTCAAGAAGGGAACTCCTAACTCTATTCTTTCGTCTTACAACCGAAACTTCACTGGTCGTAATGACGGCAACCCGGCCACCCACTCTTTCGTCACCTCTCCCGATCTGGTTGTCGCTTTGTCTATTGCTGGTTCACTCCACTTCAACCCTCTGACTGATAAGCTGAAGGATAAGGATGGCAACGAATTCATGCTGTCTCCCCCTGGTGGCAACGCTCTCCCACCTCGTGGATACGACCCAGGCAACGATACTTACCAAGCACCACCTCAAGACCGAGCAAGCGTCAATGTCCAGGTTTCCCCCTCTTCCGACCGCCTTCAGATCCTCCAGCCATTCCAGCCCTGGAATGGTAAGGACGCCCTAGACATGCCTATTCTGATCAAGGCTCAGGGCAAGACCACCACTGACCACATTTCGATGGCTGGTCCCTGGCTCAAGTACCGTGGTCACTTGGACAACATCTCCAACAACATGTTGATCGGTGCCATCAATGAAGCCAACGGTGAGGCTAACAAGATCAAGAACATCACGACCAATGATTGGGATGCTGTTCCAGCTGTTGCCCGTGACTACAAGGCCAAGGGTATCAAATGGGTCGTCATTGGCGACTGGAACTACGGAGAGGGCAGTTCTCGTGAGCACGCCGCTCTGGAACCCCGACACCTTGGTGGTCTTGCCATCATTACCCGAAGCTTCGCTCGTATCCACGAGACCAACCTGAAGAAGCAGGGTATGCTTCCCCTAACTTTTGCCGAACCTGCCGACTACGACAAGATCAAGCCTGACGACAAGGTAAGTTGTATTCCAGACAACACCATTTCCGAGTCACTCCTTTGTTATTCAATGCTAATATTCTCACCTAGGTTGATCTTCTATGCACTGAACTGGCTGTTGGCAAGCCCATGACATTGAGAGTACACCCCAAGGACGGCGAGACCTTCGACATCAAGCTTAACCACACCTTCAACGAACCCCAGATCGAGTGGTTCAAGAATGGCAGTGCGCTAAACACAATGGCCAAGAAAAACAAATAAACATGATACCAAAAGGGGGGTCGTTTTAGGCTGGAGCGTAATATAAAGGAGACTGCATACTGGTGCATGGTGGAAATGTTTTTTCTTTTCTAGAATCCATCAGAGGTGTACAGGGTCTTTTTTTTTATCGGGTTACAGGTGTCATGCTTTTGTGGGGTGATTCTAGTTTTAGCCCGTCATGACGCTGTTTTTACCTATCTTCTACGATGTACAAATGGAAATATTCAAGATATCACCCACTTGATATCAGTGTGATATGCTCTTAGGGCCTTATTGCAGTTTTGCTATGCTGTCAGAACAGTGTGTACAAAGAGTTGAGTCCCCGGGAGCGGCTCGTGCACTTGGAAGATCTTATATCGATTGCTTTCTAAGAGTAGAGTGTTAAGGATATGTAGTTGAACAGCTCCGATAATTGGAAGCGACCATACATAGAAGAACAGGGATTCCGCATATCTGCCTGTAGCTTCAAGATTTAGACACCAAGGGAACGGCAGACAATACTAGCACGCAGAGTGGTCATAGACGCAGATCCTCCTGAAATCGCTTGGCTATCTAGGGAAGTCCAAGAGTGTCTGAAATATATTGGGGATTAGTGTAATCTTAACGCTTATTTCGAAGCCCATCATCTAGATATGTATAGGTTGTATAGATTATTAATGATAATTCTCGGTGACTAAGTATGTATATATCCTATCCTCTTCACTTAAAAGCTTTCTCTCTTCGTGCTGCCTCACGAGGGGCATGAGCAAAGCCAACGCGCATGTTAAATCATCATGAAATATAGTAAGTACTCTCTATAAGATGGCGTACATACATACATATTGTAAGCACCTCGACACATATCAATAGCCCATACATCAGTAATCCGTAAGTAACAAGTAACCATACCTATAGGTACGTACATACATATAAACTATCTTTGAACAATATCGTTAGCATTACCATTGGCTGTAAGTAAGCGGGTAGATCGGCCCACGGGTGCCTGTTCCAGGGCATTAGTGCTCGGTATGGCCCATGGCAGTACGTAGCAGATACGTAGGTACCCTTCCCAGTATAATTTTTTTTTTTTTTTTTTAAAAAAAAGATGGGGCGCTAATGCAACTCGGAAAGCTGCAGCTCAACCTCCTTTTGAAGACAGGTCGTCGTATTGCGGCGTGGTCTCTTTTGCGACGACTTCTCTCAACCATTTTCGTGTATGCATGTGCTGCTCTCTTGCAGCATTCAACCCTGAACCGGCACGAGCACGATCATCAACCACGCGACACAGCGCACACGGCCTAATCAACTATTGTCCATCCATCACGACACATACAACCATCTACGCCTGTGACGGGATATCGTCACATTCTTCTTGCGGGTGCTGTGCGCTGCGCCGTACAGACCGAAGGACTCGACCTCCTACAGCTGCCACGCTCCCCCAGCAGTTATTATTCCATCGAAACCACGTGTGTGAAGCAGAACGAACTACGAGCGTGCCACCGCCTTTTCCTACTACGATTCCATCACCAAGCCTTCATTCACTGTTGTTGAGATGCCCAACGTACAGTCATTCAATGCGCAGCGAGCGCGCTCCTATTTGCTTCGCCTGCCTCTCTTCACCCGCGCCATGATTGCGATCATGATCGCTTTCGGGCTTGTTGGCTTGCAAGGTGCTTGGAATGTTCGGGAATGGGGTGCTTTAATACCACGCGAGTTGAACCTCACCACCAGTATGTGTAGTCTCCTTGCCGGGCATCTTTTATCGCTATACACACACGCGCGCGCACACCCATGTTGCATGAGTACACGTCCATGCTCAGATCTTGCTGACCCAATTCGACCTGCTTTGCGTTTAGTGTATCGTGTTAATACCTTCCCGTTAATACACAAGAGTCTGCTACATACTATTTTCAATATCCTTGCCTTGACACCCTTACTAGAAAGATTCGAAACTGAGTTCGGCACCTTGACATCGTTAGCTTTATTCTTTGGCCGTGAGTGCATCGAAGACTGGGCAGCTATAAGAAAAAGGGTGTCTGACAACTGGCTCTAGCTTTAACAACCATACCTGCTTTAGTATATGTTTTTTTCGATCGATTTGTGCTAGGCGCAAACCATGCTGTTCTAGGAGCTAGGTGAGAAATCCAAAGAAGAGAGAACCAAATGTATTGTTTCTTGTTTGAATGAATAGCATTACTAACTTAGTACATACAGTTTATGGGTCTTCCTCTTGCTGGGAATGGAAGGAGTCAGGACGTACAAGACAAATCCTTACCTGGTCATTGGGACATATCATGTCCCAACATGGACGACGCCGCTTTTCATGGCTGTGATTGTTCAAGCCCTTGTTCCGGGCACGAGTTTTGTCGGTCATCTGTGTGGTGTCGGCACAGGGTATCTTTGTATGCAGCACCCGTCCTTTCCTGTACCCTGGAAGCTACTAATAAGGAGTCTCATAGTCGGTTTGGGGTATCTAAAGTTCCTCGCTCCGCCCGAATGGATCTTAAGAGAGATAGAAAGTCGGCTGAACCTTCTAGGTCGACTACCTCATTACGTCAGTATAGACCAGAAGACATATGGTCGATTTGGGGTGTTGCCAACAAACGCCTCCAGCAGCAGCTCGACGCCTATGAGTATAATAGGGAGCACACAGCGATTGGGTCCATAGGGGGTGATGATAATGGGCGGCGTTCATGCAGATGTATACATTATAATGAGATAAATATCGTTTATTAGATCGGCATCGTCGTGATTACCTCTTTTTGGATGACATTGGTGTCGATGGTTATATCACTAATCATGAATTGATAGGGAGAATTGCGGAAGTAAGCCACGCTCTGGCGCTTTTTTAACCACGTCTCGACATCGTTGGCGCTTTACAAGTCGAGCAAGGGTGGTATTCCCGACTTCACAACCTGGGCAACTGGATTTGGTTTGCTTCTGAATACTTAATGTATAGGTCAAGCTCCATCCTCAGATCGAAGTGAATTGATATCACTATAGGCTCGACTTGACCTTCTGGTTACGCGCTAGTTTGTACACGGGTATCAAGGGCTTCATAACGGTGTTGGTAGTGCTACTGTGCATATATTTGATACGGTAACGAGCTTATTCCACTTAATGGAGCATATTTGGCAACTCATGTACGTCTAGAGGTAGAAAAAAGTGTCATGCTTGAAATAGATGGAAATGTTGGTAGTACAAATAAGTAGAGATGTATCTCGTCTTATTGTGTGTGTCTCCATAGCGTTCCTTTTTGCGTGGGACCTGAGTGCCATTTCTTCATGCATCGTTCTGCATCTTGTAGTGAAATCAGATCCTTTCCCTATATCCCGTCCCTCCATCCGACTTCAAGTACCTAGGTAGGTATATCTACTTGCTATGAGAATGATGTCGTGAAGCGTTCGGCAGCTGCTCCGGGTCACTGTCTGCATGCAAGGACCCCCGGTAATTGTCGACCCACTTTAAATATGGAGGACCCTTGGGAACTGCGTGTACACCACACGGGCTCCTCCAGATTTACTACGGGCAGAGTAAGTAGGTAGCATACCTTGGTGATACGCAACGACCTTTTACACAAAACAGCCCTGTCAAGCTTACTCGTCACCGCCAGCCGATGAGTTATTTCACGATAAAAGCGCCATGCCGCGTCTACTCGGTACGTCGAGGAAGCCTTCTCCAAGTCTACATGTTGTTGATCCCAAGCTAATGCTTCGTGTCCCCCCGATAGCCACCGTCTTGACGCTGCGCCGCGATCCGCGGCTGTTGAAGCTCCCGCCATACCTCTCTCTGCTGTGCATCTTGGTTGGTGTGGCTTGGCTATTTCTCCTCCCTCTGGACGACTATTCGCGACGTACTTACATATCCGAAAACGCTCTCTTGCCCGGTCAGGTTCATACCTATTTTGGCGGAAGTGATCAGAATGTCTTCCGCGCTTACAGACACGAGGTCGATGCATTGAAGGATAAAACCAACCTTGAGTGAGTGCCGACATCCCCTCCGGGCTATAACGGTCAAAATCTGACGTATGAGGAGAATAAACGGCGAGCTCGAGAATATCTTCAAGGGCCTTGGGTTCAAAGTCGGCCGCCAGAACTACACGTACTATTCTGCGGGGAGCACGTATGCCGGCGAGAATGCATACGCCATCCTTCAAGCCCCGCGTGGCGACGCAACTGAGGCCATCGTGTTGGTCTCGGCCTGGAAGAACGTCAAGGGCGAGTTGAATCGCAATGGTGTTGCTCTTACGCTGACATTGGCCCGTTACTTCAAACGCTGGTCGCTCTGGTCCAAGGACATCATAATCGTTATCCCCCCCGACAGTAGGGCAGCTATACAAGCCTGGGTGGATGCATACCATGATGCCCACGACCCATCTACTGTCGCAGCCCTACCCATCAAGTCGGGCCTCCTTCAGGGTGCCGTCGCCATTGACTATCCGCACGAAGGACGCTTTGAAGGCGTACATATTGTGTATGACGGCGTCAATGGGCAGCTACCTAACCTGGATCTGATCAACTCGGTTAACAACATCGCTAATGGACAGATGGTCATGCACTCTTTCATTCAGGGGAGACTTGGCCATTCCGACAAGTACAACGACCGTTTGAAGACGATGCTACGAGGTATGATGAAGCAGGGGTTAGGTCATGCAGTTGGACCTCACAGTAGCTTCATCCCTTACCACGTAGATGCCGTGACCTTGCAACCTGTCGGCAATGGCGGGCATGACGAGATGGGGCTTGGTCGCCTTATCGAAGGCACCTTCCGCAGCTTAAACAACCTGCTCGAGCATCTACACCAAAGTTTCTTCTTTTACCTCCTTATACACAAGGACCGGTTTGTCAGCATTGGAACTTATCTACCTAGTGCCATGCTAATCGCTGTCAACTTCACCATCATGGCTATCTTGATGTGGGTTAAGAGCGGCGCCGCAGGAACTTCTGGGTCTACGGAGTTGTCGGCTATCGAGAATACGGATACCATGGATGGGAAGAAAGAGGCTGTGGCAGTGAAGCCGCTGGTACCCGCTGTCGCCGAGCGAGAGCTATATCTTCCATTAGGAATCGTGATAGCATGCCACTTTCTTGGAGCCCTACCGCTATTCATTTTCAATCACACCCCGTCTCATGTGAGTGATCTTTGAATGCCCTTATTAACCCCCTTTTCCCCCATTGTTTAGATTCATCAATACCATTCTATGGCATCACCGTTATTATGCCATCCTATGCACTTGGATCATATTCACCCTCTTCAGCAAATACAAACTATACTAACATGTCAATAGCTGCTCGCTCCTTTTTTCGTTGTTTTCGGTGTCCTGAATATCTTCTTTCCCTCACTAATCTTGAAAATGGTGAACTCGACTTCCGCGCGCCCCCTCGCCCTTCAACAAATCTATCTCCTTAAATCATTCTCTCTCCTTCTTCTCGGCATGTTCCTCAGCTCCCTCGCGACACTGAATTTCAGCCTCGCCTTTCTAGTAGGCTTAATTTCAACTCCTCTCTCCTTCGCCAGCCCCTGGCCCGACAATCCAGCTATGCGCTTCAGCTACACAGGCCTGCTTCAAGTGGTGAGTCCCACAGCTGCTGTCCTTGCTGGGGCTGCCGCATACGCTTCTAGTTATGGAAGTGGGGAGACGGGCTTGCCTGACACATTAGCGCATATCCTATCGGAAGCTGCCTTTGGCTGGGACGTCTGGGGCTTGTATACCCCCCTTATTGTCTGGTGTGTTTGGTGGCCGGCGTGGCTCGTTGGGTCCATCGTAGTGCTGGGACAACCTAAAACGATGGCGAAGATGAAGAGCGCTTGATAAATGATTTCACGCATTTGTTTTAGATTCAAAGTGCTAAACCTAGGAGTGAAAGTTCCATATTTCGTTCGAAGGCTTAATGATGAATGAAATAGATAGTCCACGCTACTACAGGATGCTGCCTATATATGAGAGATAGCCGCTAGCACTTATGCCACTATCGTGGAGTCTTGCATCACTGTGGGTAGTAGCACATCGAAACGCCATACGCATTGAATGATTTAAAGCACGGTATTAGCAAGTTTATATGACAACGGCAGCCCTAAACTCCCGTTTCATTTTACTGTTTGTATTTTGAGGCCCACTTTCGCTACCGATGCGGCCACCGTCTATTAGTCGACTATCATACAGACTCAGGTAATTGATTCTCAGAACTCGAGTATCGTGCCTTTTGTATCGTCACTCGACTATATACCCAGTAATTTGGACGCCATTAGCACCAATAATTCGAGTTCTGTGAGTTTTGTGACTTTGCCGTCGCATTTCCGAGTTAAAACGAGACCAGGTGACGCGTACCTCAAGGTGCCCAGATATCTTGTCCCGTTGCCTCAATCCAATTGCCAAGTTTATTGACGTTCTCACCCCACTCACCGAGCCTTTGACTCATGCTAGCGATTTGGCTCATATCTAAAATGCGTGGCTGAACCCAGGTGAAATTGACGACCTCGTCGACCTGGTCAATAGTGCCGCGCACAAGGCCTAAACTCAGGGCTCTCATGACCAGGTGCTCGATCTGGTTGGGCCGCACCTTGGTATCGGCTGATATTGTGCTGAAGGTCATGGCGCGCTCATGGGGTGGTCGCCGGAATACGCTCTCAGTCAAGGCGGCAAGGTAGATCTTTTCCCGAATCTCATCCTCATGGTCCTGCAGCAGCCGATTTGACGAGATGTGCCCAGATAACATGTCGTAGGCTCCTAGATCTCCTCTGTTGAAGGCCAGCAGCAGATTGCGAAGCCACTCTAGTTCGCCAGTCAGGGCATCTAGGATAGGATGTAAGAGTAGTTCACCGAAGTTGTAGATGGAGTCTGATACCAGGGCAGCCATGCCCAGGTCGTAAGCGCGAGCCTTGCGCTCGTTGGGGGAGATGGTGGATAGGTCTATGCATGCTAAGTAGAGGAGAGCGTTGCGATAGTAGGAAGCGAAGTCGGCATTAGCCTTATAGTAGTCGGCGTTAACCTGGTAGAAAGCGGCGTGTACCTTGGTCTCTACCGAATCGAAGGAGTCGAGGATCTTTTCAGCCTTGTCCAGATCTCTCCGGGATGCCTCGCCATCGCGTAGTAGCAGCTCAACGCGGGCAGCAGCCACCGTGGCATAGACAAAGGCGTCTTGTGAGTTCTCGTTATCGACCTTTTTAGCGAGATCGGTAAGGAAAGTTAACCGCTCCTTGTCATCTAACACGGCATTAGCTCACGAGATGCAGATAGTGGCCAGCAGAGCGGGCACATTGTTGGGTCGGTGCGTACCTCGACACTGTGTGGCAGCTTTTAGACCTAGGTCGACAAGCTTCAGCTGGTTGATCTTATCCGCAAACTTCAATATAAAGACCTTGAAGAAGGCAAGGCGTTGCGGTTCGCTCTTCGGGTTGGCGAAGAATTCAATAAGGAGGTCGGTAAGCTGGTGCCATAGTTTCCGCTCCCAGAAATCCTCAAACTGGATGATGACGCCCTGAAGCTCCTCGGGAGCTTGATCCCGCTGGTCAGCAAGGAAGTCGGCGATTGTGTCGACGTTCATATTAGTGATTCTCAGGCCGGGGACAGATGTGTTAGGTATCGGCGGAATATTGCACTGAATCGATAAGTAGCACAGAACGAGTGCGTCGTTCTCGTTGGTCTGAGACGGTACGGGAAGGGCGTCTATCGTGAGTAGTGATTCGGGGATTTGAGGGGGTTCTCTGAAAGGGAGCTCCGGCAGAGGAGCAAGGATGACGATGATGTTAGCGTTGGTGATGGCCGTCCCAGCTAGGCCTACTGTACACGCGCGGCTGGTGTGCAGCCTGTCTGGGGGACCATGTACCTATCTACCTCTGTACAGGTACCTAGGTACTAAGATACCTTCTCGCTGGCACGTGGCAAACGTCTGGCAGCGGATGCGGTGACAGCTGAGCACTCATCACAGCCAATGACATGCAAGGCGCTGCGTAGCTTGTCAGCCATACCTCAGCATCCTTCAATTGGAGGAGAGCTTCAACCCACCCGACCGAGAGCAGCATCGTCACGTCCACCTGGGTGAAGTTTACTCTATCTCGCCATTGGAGAGGCACCCGTCGTTCTTGTTCCTAGTACACAAGAATGGCCTCCTTTCCGGCCGCTGTGCGGTCTAGCCGAAAACTGGCGCTCAGCCTTAACAACCGGGCCCGTCACATTTCCGACCTCACAATCTCTCGCACCGGGAAGCCTATCATGCGTGTCCAGGGCGGCCGGTCAGTTTCCTATTCTTCGCACCCACCCATATGGCCTTGTGCCAATGCTCTCGGTACTGACACTTTGGGCCTTGCAGATCAGCTCTCGGAGGTATGCACCAATCTACACGACCCTGCGCCGGTTTTAATGACGAAACTGACCATGACATCTCCTCCCAGGCCATGTTGCAACCGTATTTGGCGCAACGGGGCAACTCGGGCGATACATTGTGAACCGATTAGGTACTACTGGATATTCTTGCTATATAAGTCGCCCACGCGGCTAGCTGTGACTCTGGGCTGATCATTCGATTCACAGCCCGCCAGGGATGCCAGGTTATCGTTCCCTATCGTGAGGAGATGGCCAAGCGCCATCTCAAGGTTACTGGTGATCTTGGCCGTGTCGTATTTATCGAATACGATCTACACAACACCGAATCTATCGAGGCCAGCGTGAGGCATTCCGATGTCGTTTACAATCTCATCGGCCGTAACTATCCTACCAAGAACTTCAGCCTTGAGGATGTCCATGTTGAGGGAACTGAGAGAATCGCCGAGGCTGTCGCGAAGTACGATGTCGACCGCTACATCCATGTCTCTTCTTACAACGCCGATCCTAACTCTCCGGCGAGCTTCTTTGCAACCAAGGGAAGGGGAGAGCAGGTCGCCAGGAGTATCTTCCCGGAGACTACGATCGTGCGACCTGCGCCCTTATTCGGCTTCGAGGACAACCTCTTGATTCGGTTGGCCGGTGTCACCAACCTTTTCACATCAAATCACATGCAGGAGAGATATTGGCCTGTCCACGTAGGTCTTGTCAATGGAGAACGGATGGTCTCCAACAAGCTAACCCATTATGCGATTAGTCGATCGATGTTGGCCATGCCCTTGAGCTCATGATGTACGACGACAACACAGCTAGTCAGACTTTTGAGCTTTACGGTCCGAAGAACTACTCTACAGAAGAGATCGCTGAGATGGTAGACCGTGAGATCTTCAAGAAGCGGAGACATATCAACGTTCCCAGGTCGATCCTAGAGCCTGCTGCTGGTCTACTCAACCGTCTGCTATGGTGGCCGATACTTTCTGCCGAGGATGTACAGAAAGAATTCATCGATCAGAAGATCGATGAGACAGCCAAGACCTTCGCGGATCTCGGTATCACGCCTGGTGATATTAGCAACTACACTTATCACTACTTGGTAAGTTTTCATTTCTCGCATTTCGGACGCCCAAGTTATCAAAGTGTGGGAGCAACTAACAAGTCGATAGCAAGGATACCGCAGCGCGGCATTCTACGACCTGCCGCCAGCGACAGAGAAGGAGAAGAGGGAAGACCGGAAGTACATTCACGTCACAGACGGAGCATAGAGGAGCAGATCTCAAGTGGTTTTTTAAGTTCGCCGGAGACCTAGATGTAACAAATGTACATATAAACTCTAGACAAATAGTTTCCTGACTTGAAGATTCCGAATTTTATTTGTTCAAATTCTAATTTTCTTTTTCCTTTCTCCATTTTACCCGGAGTACAGCAATGAACTCTAAAGTGTTGCTGAAGTCTTAAATAAGCCTCTTCCTAGAGATGACCGAGGCTTCGACTAAGTCTCATTCAAATCGGACAAAGGCGGACCTACCACTACCCCCATCAACCAATCAATCGCTAATCACCCCATAGTCATAATACCCAAGTACGTTAAGGCTGCCCACTTGAGTCGCCTACACACTGTTTTTATATTACAGAATGACTGGTGACACGGAAGAGTCCTTGTAAGTTACCAACGGCCAGCAATTTCCACAAATGATCGAGCTGTAAATTTCACTTGCATTACTCTTTGTGTATTTTGGTCATTGATTAATTCTCATTCTCGGACCTGGGCCTTTCGATTCTTCCTATCCTTCCAGTTGGTGCGCTCTGATCAACTCACCCGTAAATCTATATTAGGACGCTCTCACCGGATGCGCTGGCAGCGCTCACCCAATTCTATGCCGAGCGCGATGCGCAAACGGAGAAATTCGAGAAACTTAGGGCGCGGGCTGAAGCTGATGAGGGTGCGCGGGGCCAGGTGGTGAACGAACCTGAGCCGGCCGCGGGTGAGCTCTCTATCCATACATTTACCGAAGACTGGAACGAGTCACAGTTCTGGGTGAGTGATCCCGTGTTTTGTGTTATTACACCGTATCTTAGCCTCTGGTCTTCAAGTTGCATCTGAGCTAACCATGTCCTTTGTCTATTATTTCTCTATAGTACTCGGATGAGACGGCGAACCTACTCGGCCACCAACTCCTCATAGGCACGAGTGATGATTCGGTCGTCGCCGTGGTTTCTACGCCAAGCGTATTCGTTGCGCTGCGGAAGATCACGGTATGCCCTTCTACTAGACATTGCATCGTGTATCCCCCATGCAGGCGCAATTAGCTGACATGTTTCATTCACTCAGACCGCGGCTGGGTACACGGGTCCGAAGCCAAAGATGTTCTGTACGTTACGCCTGGGGTCATCTTCTCTCTACTTATTCTAGATACTCGTGGAAGGCATGATTGCCCGTTATAGCCACAAGCATGTCTTAGGAGTGCACATGGCTGCCGAAATCTGCTCCCGTTTTAACTAGAAGAGTATCTATTGACGCCAGCGAACTGTAGTACTCGAGCACGACTATCGGTTTGCTGTCTTCCCTGAGTTCGTCTTCTACGATTTCGCGGAACCATTCAAGCTACCCAGTACGTGGTGTCCACCGCCGCCAGTCCAATGATTTTTCCTTGCGTATCGTTATCATTCTTGACGCTCTGTTAGTGTCATTCGTTCACTCATTCCCTCTTATAATCCTGGTCCCCTAGAAACTCAGAAGCATAATCATGAGGAAAGGGGTTACGTGGAGTCTCTCTTCAAGTTCCCCCGCCTCATCAAGATTCAGAGCTATCATCATTCAGACTCCTGATAAAAATGAATACAGAGATATTTACAGATTGAAGCTGAAGCTGACACTGTAAATACACAGCACATCTTAAGGGTGCTGTAGACAGGATGATATGCGACCCTCCTTTCTTGAGTGAGGACTGCCAGACGAAAAGTAAGTGGTATAGGTTTGTCCCTGAAAAGGGTTGTAGGAACATCCCTGCCTCACCGATCATTCCTCTTCCTCCTTCAGCCACCCTAATCACTCGTATTAACGAGAACAATAGTGGCCATGACTCTGCGCTGGCTAGCACGGACTAAAACCGGCGCCGTATCTACAGCTGAAACTAAGACCTTCCCGCGCGTCCTTATCTGCACAGGCGAGCGGATGGAGAAGCTCGTGAACCGGTTATACAAGCCCTTAAACGTGGCCACGACGACATACGAGCCTGTGCACAGCGGGCTGAAAAATGAATTCCGTTGTTATGCAAACTTTGAGTGTGACGCGTGGAGGTGGCAAAAAGAGGCATGAAGGCAGCTAGCTATCTAGAGGATGGCGAATACAAATAACAAGCTACGGTTACATAACAACTAGCCTGGGAGGCGTGAAGGTTAGGTGTACGGAATTTGGGCATGTTCTAGATATGGAATGATAGGTTGCTTTTCTACGTTACCAACAAGGTGCACGATGAAAGCCCATACAATCCAATTTGCCCGCCTGGAATGCCCTATTGAGCATTCAATTTGATACTCTAATTCTGGTCTTGTCTATGAATTACGAGGGCACTGCTGGACTCTTTATGTTAAGACGACAACCACTTAATTAAGTAGGTTCCCAAGTAGGTTGGTAGATAATATAGCTACTATGAAGGTAAGCATGCGGAGAGCATAAAGGTACAGCTTGAAAAGCAACCCCAACGCCGATACAGGAGGTAGTCACAAGATCGCTTTGTTTTGACCAATGCCCCTCTATTTCCGCCAGATACATGCGACCGTCGATTCCACCGATACCAGACCCCGTGCAAATGCATCGCAAATAGATCTTGCTGGTTGTTTAATTCTCTATTCAGCCTCGCTTACTCTGCTAGAATCATTACGTTGTTCATGTGAGGGATCGGATTATATAGAATAGAAGGTAGGCTTGACTACCTAGCACATCCGACTTTTTAGCCAATTCGACCCTGTGGTCATTGAAGGAGAACCACTAAATACAGTTATTAGTATCCATGTGTGCGGTGCTAACATATGTTTAACTAGGTTGGCCGCTTACCTGGTCTCCGACTCTACAGTAAGATACGTAGTGTCCTGCATCATTCTGTTCAGCAACGTCTAGTTTCATGTGCAGTTGAGGATGACCTACCGGTGTCAATCTCGCCCACATGCTCTACAACGCTCAAGAGGTCATAAACGCACGAACGATTCAGCTCTTGACTCTCTCTCCCAGCGTCGCTCTGGCCTTTTGTTGTATAGGGCAGCATATTCAATTGCAACGGAAACTGCACCTTGGTGCGAATCTTGGATGCAGCTCGATCACGACCGCCTTGCTTAAATTCAAATCTCTACAATGTCGGAACGCCGTAAGTCACGGGATTCCAATGAAGGTGAGCAATGGGATGTAGAAGGCACACTTACTTTGAGCTGTATCGAAAGAACATTAGGTAGCAGCTTAATGCTATGATCTCTCCGAGCCTGTTGCGACGAGTTGCAATTTCGGCAACGATATTCACACTTGTCAGACTTTATGTATTCTTCATCCAAACAGTCTTGCAGTGTTAGCGAAGGATCCCCCTTGGGCTCCTTCTTGCCCTTTTTCCTCGCCAAGTTCTCGAGGCCTAGGCTTAGGTCAAGGAAAGACTCGGTTGCATTGGTAACGCCGCCACAATTTTGGCAGGTCGTCTGGTTTTGGAGTTTGCCGTAGAAGGTTTGGTGAATAATACAGTTGCAGCTATGCTCACTCCCAGTTTCTGGTTTCTTGCCATCTCCATTCCTTTCGTGCAGCTCTTCGGCGAGGAACTGGAAGAACTCATGCGCATCCTGCTCTTTGGTAGTAACGAGATTCTCGAATGCTTTCTTCTCGGATATCCAGAATCCGGACAAGATGTTAGCGGCAGTGTAGCCATTTGTGTTTTCTAGGGCATAAAAGTCTTGAAACATATCATCCATAGCGCAACTTAGACAGTGGGATACCTGGCAGTCGCCACTCTGATGGCCATCTGCAAGATAGAAATTTCGGAGAAGAGGATTGTGCAAGAAGCTTTGAAGTACAACGTTCTGGTAGCATGTAGCACCAGCATTGTATATTCCGCGGAGGCCATCCGCACGGCAGGATGCCGCTGTCGTATGCAAAGAAATATATCTCTGCTCCTCTTTCACAGCGTCGGAGAACATATCCTCATGTTTCCTCTTGCGGTCTTGGGCACAAGTTAGTCTAATTTCGCGCTCTCGACAGTTCGGCTCGGTATTTTAGCAGTGTGGCAGGTTAATGGAGGGAAGAGGATGTGAACAGCAAACGTACTAGAGGAGAATGATCCTGTGCCCATCTTTCTAACCCTGAGGTCTTCCAACGTGGGGTCCCACACGAAATCTTCACAGAATTGGCAGAAAAGTGAGCCGGTCCTTGAATCAACATCTGTGGTGGATACCCTATCAGTACAACACAGTAGTATCAACATCTGCGGGAAGCTTAACACTCACAGAAACGGTGGCTCTTCTTGTTGCCATGTTTGACACGTTCCTCCTCGGGCAATATAGCAGAACATTGTAAACAGAGATAGTTGGAGGTCAAAGATGTGGTAACCTGGCCATCGGTGGCCTTGGAAGTCTGGGCAATGAGTGGATCTTTATCAAATATGACCCTCAACAGCATCTTAAAATAGTTTATAGAGCTATTGGTGACCTCTTGACTATTGGAGAGAAGTAGCTGCACGTGCTCTGATGGGCGTTAGCAGAAGAGTTCACAACTGTTAACAAGTTTGAGCGTAGAACTGACCACAGCCGAACAAGGGAGTGCCCGGTACTGGGGAATTAACCTTGGCATCCTTGGGCGAGGCAGGTGTGGTAGGCCGGGCAGCCATTGTGGTGATGACGGCGTGCTTATAAAGTGTATCTCTCTTGGCGGAGAGACGCGCGGGAGAGACGGTAGATGAACGGACGGTAGCCGAGTTCTCGGTGTTTGTTCCAACTGTTTCTTGTCTTAAATCGCCCAAGCCCGAACTCAGGCGCAACAGCGGCACAAAATACTTGGTTATAGTGAAGGGACGGACGAGCGAGCAGGCGGATGGACGGATAGACGGCGGTAAGGGCGATACGAGACTTGAACTCTAAGCTCTAGGTGTGTCGACAGCTGGCCGAGAAATGACCAGAGGGTTGCAGCGTTTGAGTGTACCTCGGAGCCGGCGTTGGTCGACGTCGTGTGTGGCGGTATAAATGGAAGCAATGCGCAAGCGTCGAAGCGGTGTAAGTCGGTAGGTGGGTAGGTAAACGCGGTCGTAGCTAGCTAGGTGTGGCCTAATTGAGAGGCGATTGGAATCCATCGGTCAGCATTTATGAGTAGAGCCAAGCATAACTACAAGAAGGGTCCTAACCAAGGTCTAACCAAGTTCCACGGGACAGGTTTCGGATGAAGACAGCGATGCCTTGAATTAATTGGAGGTGAGAGCCACGACGGGCGAACTATCGTCATCTACACGTTGGGGGCTAAGGACCGATGGTGGAGGACGGGTGTATGTATACCTATATTATGAGGTATGTATGTCTGTATGTATGTACATGCCACCCGCCGCCGCATGTAGGCACTCAAAGTGTGCGAGTAAGTCGGTAGGCAAAAGGCGTGTCTACGTGTAGCATCACCAAGCTCAGATTCGAATAAAAGTTGGGATTTATTAATGTATGTTACATAGCTGCTAAGGATAGAAAGTTCAAGTTGCGTCCCCAACGCCAACGTCAGCAGGTACGCTCAGGATGCTGGAATTCCTTATCGACGCCTGGGTCTGGACTCTTATCAAACCGCGCTAGTGAATACCTACCTAGGTACCTAGGTACCTAGGTTGAAAGGGTCCGGTACACGCCTAGGTACATCATCATACATCAATGTAATGGCTCTGGCGCGTCAACCTGCCATCAGTTGCTCGCTACCTAGGTAGGTAGGTAATACGGTAGATTCTGGTAGAGCTAGTAAGACGCAGATGGGGGTGCAGAAGCTACGAGGCATGGGGACGAGGGAACGAAGAAACGAAGACGGGAGACAATCATCTCCATTCCTTACGACATTCGCTAGTATAAGGTTCTCATGTACCAAAATACCCTCTCCTTTGGAGTCTCTTGAGCAGCCCTATTTATGTACTTAGTATGTATGAGAGAGTGATTGCATGAGCGTACCGTATCATATATGCTATTACGAGCCTCCCCTACACGTACCTCCGTTACATTATTGCCAATCTACTGCGTATCCGGGGAGGGATTGATATAGGTACTTATGGAAGTAGAGTCGCTCAGCACACGACGCTGTAACCCCAGGTCCATGATACTACTATCCCACCTACCACGATATTACTCCCGCCATTCCTCCCGCCATTGTAGTAACAACATCTCAAGTACCAAGAAAATGGCCACTCAACTTGTGCATCTGCCCGAGGTCGAACGCCTCAGTCCCGCTTGCATCCGCATCCTTGGTGGCAATCCCAGCAAGTTCCAATTACAAGGTACCAACACCTATCTTGTCGGCACTGGTCCGAGGCGCTTGCTCATTGACACTGGCGAGGGAAAGCCCTCGTGGCAAGCTGCTTTGAAGCGTGTCCTGGATGAAGAGAAGGCCACCGTACAGGCCGCTCTCCTAACTCATTGGCATCCTGACCACGTCCAGGGTGTGCCTCAGCTCGAGCAGCTCGTGTCAGATACTGCCGTGTACAAGTGCGCGCCTGCTCCGGGGCAACTAAACATCGTAGACGGCCAGGTTTTTGAGGTCCAAGGCGCTACCCTAACCGCCGTGCACACTCCGGGTCACACTACGGACCACATGGCCTTCGTGTTCCGAGAGGAAGACGCCCTTTTCACCGGCGACAATGTCCTGGGCCACGGTACTGCCGTCTTTGAGGACCTCGGCATCTACCTCCACAGCCTTACCAAAATGGAGAGGCTCGTCTCCGGCCGTGCTTACCCCGGCCACGGTCCGGTGCTCTCTCAGGCTCGAGCCAAGATCGCCGAGTACATCTCACATAGACATCAAAGAGAACTACAGGTTATCGAAACGCTCGGCTCGGCTAAAGACTCGTCATCGTTGACCACCGGTGCGTGGACTCCCATGGAGCTTGTCAAGGTCATATATCGCGACGTTCCCGAAGAGCTCCATATACCGGCATCGTACGGCGTGATCCAAATACTCAAAAAACTTCTTGCTGAAGACAAGGTTGTTCTTGAGGATGGAGACAGATGGCGCCTCAAGGAGAGACCAACTCTGTAGGCTATTAGGCTGTTCCTTACAGACAGCATTGCCAAGTTGCTGACCTTGCGTATGGCGTTAGACCAAAATGACCCGATATGATCATTCCTAAACTTGTGAAGCCTTTCAACTGTAGGACGCGAGCTCAGATCTTCATAGCGTGTGTGAAAGGGAAACGAGGTATCGGTTATTTCACACCCACCTCGGGACCTTGACTCTGGCTTGGAGGTGATGGAGATGATAGTATTGACGTTGACAACCCTTTCTTTACGAAGCGAGGACTATGTTTCCATTCTGTTCGCTGAATCGCGGCTTTGTCTTTTCTTACCGTCTCTCTACTCGGTATCATTGAAGCCCACAGCTTACAAGCTGCAAGCTGCAACGAATAGAAGAGTATTGGGCTTTGTATACTTGTGAAGTTTCAGGATTCCTACCCTGGTCGATCTACGAAATCTTGAGCTAGGGTATAATTAAGATGCTCGCGCTCTTTTCGCATGAGGCCACCTTAGATCGCACGAGATCACACGGTTCGTTTTTTTATGGTACTAATCATAACGGATCGGTCAGGCAACTGTCATTCACGACCACCCCTCGTTGTTTTAGCTAGGTGGAAGAAATGCGGAATGCGCAGTTTGGTCAGTGGCCTAGGACGATAATACTGAATCTAATGTTTTCCTTTTCCCTAGATTGAACCATTAGGTATCTATGGACGCGCAAGCATTGTTTAAAAACCAACAATATCGATCTACTTTTTATTCCAGAGGCGTGGCGTAACAAAAATCTACCCAGAAGTTGGCAACGGTGCTTGCCAAGTAATCCTTAGCAATGTTGACTTGGTCAATGTATCCTAGGCGCCTATGGCTGTAGAGAGAGCCTTCAACTTCAGGCACTCGTTATGTCAGGCATGATGACCATTTGAAGGTAATTGTGCTTTGTGGTAGTTATATACACTACCCTACATATACCGTAGACACGATGTGGTTCCCATTCAACCCTGCTGTGACTAAATACCTAGGTTAAGGCTACATTACATACATGTACGCGGCTCCGGAGCCTCGTGGCTTTCTATTCTAAGCACCTGTCGAGCAATCAATTTGTAAGCTACATCACGATGTTAGTACCTTGCACAATCATGGCATGGACCGAAGGTCCCGTAATGTACTTAAGTATGCGTACAACGGATTAGGGTAGGTATCACTAGTGTAGATGCTAGTACCTACAATGCACGCACAAAACATATCAGCATGCTGTGTACTTACTAAGGAAATATGCTTACACTACCTACGCTATAAATGGAACTGTTGGATCCTGGCGGATGGAAAGTGACTTTAGAAAATGCGCAATGTTAATTGTTGTCTTCGTGAGATGTACATACCTAGTATTTGTTGGGAGGATCCCTCTTGAGGCACGGGACCGGCATGTGGCGTTTCTGGGCGGGCACTGAGTAAGTCAGAGGCAATGTGTGATGACTGAGCCCCGTCGCCCCCGTTCCTACTACTGGTTTCCATTCTTACCCTGTTGTGCTCTGCCCTGGTAACCCGGGCCATCGGCAATGGGATCCTTGCTGGCTGATCGTGGTTCGGGATGTTACAAGACTCCGACCAGCGGTCTGCAGCGGGGCTGAGCGGGTCTCTTCGAATCCCGGTGGTTCATCCAGGCGTTGAACACCGATTTTGTCCTTGCCAGGCGGTTGCACATACCAAGGAATCCAAGCTCCCATGTTTCGACTGGCCAAGGTAACCAAGCCCAGAAGCCTCCTGATTCTCTTGTGTTAATTATGTACGCCTTGGTAGTGACGATCTTTGTACTTGCTTCAGATGTCTTTTTGAGCCTACACTACCTATTAGGCCTTGTTTTATCTTCGCGTGCCTGTTCGCTCGGTACATCTCAGTGTGGAACGACACTAGACGTGATTGCTCAGTAAGGCTTCAGGGTCGGATCATTTACCTGGCTTGTAGCCTGTTGTACATACAGTAGGTATGGTAGTTAGTATGATACAATCCGCCAGGAAATTCTTTATTCATGGACTCGGGGTGGGCTTCCTACCCACGTTCGGTGTAGTGTACCTAGTGTGCCCGGAGGTCATTCCGAGAAAACTTGTGCAAAATGGTCTCCAACTATCATGTTAATCATTGAAAGCCAGCCCTACCTACTACTGTACAGGTGGTGACTTATTCATTTCGAGAATCCCCTTCCACCAAGGGCAGCTCATGAATTCCTCAACTTGCGGACAGTACTGCACGAAAGGCAGATAATATCTTGTGCAGATATCTAAGTAAGTACCTATGTTACCTCCTGCGCCTTATTGCCATGTACTTATATGCATGCCAGCACACTCATCCGGCAGTCCATTGGTAGTGTCATGCTAGTGTAGGTATGTCATCTGGCACAACCCTATATCAAGACTACCTTACCTACTTTACAAAGTGTATTGTACACTAGATTGAGATTAGCTCCATTGCAACTACTGTAGCCTTTTTTTTTTTTTTTTTTTTTTTTTTTTTCATATGATAAACTATTGGGGGAAACGTTTACAAAGGTAGATAGGTACCTAGTCATTAAGCTTGAATCTACGTGGGTTTTGAGCGACTGTTGTAAGTATTCCATGTTGAGCGCCTTGTATCTTGTGATCAGCCCAAGGGGTAGACGGTAGGTACACAGTACCTAGTATGTGTGTCACTAACTGAGATTAATGGTTAACCTGACAACATCACCTAACCCATGAAAATTACGAACCTAGTTCCTTGCAGTATTGCGCAATCGTGAGTTTTGCAAGTAAGTACTACCTACATACAGTACCTAGTTAGTGACAGGCAAGACGTGAACTACTAACTATTTAATATAAGTAAGTAAAACATCTAATCTGAAGAACCAGCAGATTAACTCTGCATACTATATATATATATATATATATTCATTCAGCTTTGTTAATACCCCGACTACTGTATGGTACTTTTAAACAAGAAGCTACCTACCTCGGTAATAGTCACCTCTTCCCTCAAACAATCTGGTACACAGACATAATCGGCAATACACATCAGTAGCTCCGAACGCTCTCTACGGAGATATGCTCATGATACCTAGCTTCTAATGAGAGAGCTATTGTTCACGGATAATTTTTCTATTAGGCTCGGGTCGGATTACCTGGTATGCATCTGCCATCTCGATCGCTCGCGTGATTCGTGTACCAGCCTGTATAAATGAACCGATGCATGGTACACTATCTAAGTGTATATGCCTATCTCGCTTTCGGCTCTTTAGGTTTAAACTCCGGTTCTGTCCGGTCCTCCGTTTACGAAGTACACTACTTTTCTTTTTTTCCCTTTTTTTTCTCACCATTCTAACGGTATGATGCCGCCGGCCGCGATGACAATCCGGAATAGTTTAGGAACTAAGCACTCAGGTCCCCACCTGCATGTTCACCTTGTAGTGAGTCTGAACAAAGGCCTTATTACACTACAGGGTACCTCGCTATCGCCTAAGCGAGAGCCGACCACAAAGTGCCATGGCGGGGATGTTAGTGCCCAGCCTGGGACATGTCACTGCATGATGCAGTGATTTAAGGTAAGGACCTACGTATACAGCAACTGGTATACTACTGTACCTACCAGATACTACACTACCTACGTAAGTAGGTAGGTAGATATTGATCCGGCACAAGCAGCCGTGAGTCATGACGATCATCATTGACGGATGCGGCCGCCAGGCGCTTAATTAGTAGCTATAGGCCCTAGTGCAGCAGGTGGGTACCTATCTGACTAGGTAGGTACATATTTGACTTGCATTCCACCCGTCACACAACCTGGATCTGTACACGACCTGCCTGTCCAGCGTCGCTACATGCATACCTACATACCTACCTACATACTTCTGTATTCTCTGTTATCTATCTCTTATGTAGTACCTAGGGCAGCATCAGTGCAAGATCATTTACTACCTATACCTACATGCCTAAGGTACCTAGTCTTATGCATGTGTGGGTCGGCGCTGGGCACTGGATGTACATCTAGAACCGGTAGATAGGTACCTACATATGTATGTATAGGTATGTAGGGTAGTGTGATGTGTGTGGTTCGATGCTGTCATCCATGCCTGTGCGCTTGACAAGTCGTCGGTAAGTGTGCGGCGGTCAGCAGTCTGGTGACGACCCCATCTTGCTTCTTTCATATTCTGTCTAAATCTGACGACCATGGCAAGCCCGGAAGCTTCGGACCATGTCCTTGGCCCCGAGGGCCTACCGTACCTACCTACCTGACTACCTATCTACACACACACACACACACACACACACACACACACACTACTACTACTAAGCAGGAGGAGGCAGATACAGCTCGGCCGACCTACACAGCAGCACTACCCGGGCCAGTCAGGTGCAGGGTAGGTAGGTAGGTAAGCAAGCTGCCAGACAGCCAACACCATCGCCGAGTCCCAAGCAACAGCCCGGATTTGGTGAGAGCTTCCTGGTCGCCCTCTTGGTCGCCCTCTTGGTAACCCTTGGGAGCTCTTGGTGGCTCCCCTCAGACACCCTTGGCACACGCTAGGCTGTGGGAGCCTCGCCTACGCGACCCAGCAGGTCCCAGGAACCTCCGACGATGCCGGCATGCATCGCCAGCATAGCGAAATGTTACTGTATCATGCCAACTTGTAAAACAAAGCCTCCAGCTACCATGTATACCCTATATAGGTGGAGGCCCGCCCTTGCCTTCTCTCCATCGCCATGCTGTTCCCTTCCCACCTAATCTACCACCTCATTAATTAGGTACTACTACCCACCACCGTACCTGGGTGGTCCACCTGACATTAATCTATCTGCATTACTTGCTTCCTTCGATTTGAACTGTTCCTAGTATTATTAATTCACAACCTGAATAGACACCCGCTTACGGACCGGCGTCTTGCCCGCGATCATCTCGCATCGTGAACGAGCATACCACTCGGCATCGTGGCCGCAGTTAGGAACTGGTTCATCATCTTGAGCCCTGTCTCTCGTGTAGATAGCTAGTTCTCCAAGACACTGGACAGCATAGACCTTATCCGTTTCGTGGGGTATTTCGAAATCCAGCAGGAATGTGCTAAACCCTGCGAGTCTGTTCGTTTGCAGCCATTGTCTCAGTCATTGTCATTGGACTTGATCGTCCCCGAAGGCTGCGAAAAGGCCGTGTTGTGCACCCAGTGATAGTCAAACACCTTTGGAGTAGGGGCACCATGCGGTCGATCACCATACAAGTTTTGAGGTTCTTAGCTTTGCTAGCTATTACGGGCGCTCTTCCCACGGTTTTTGCACACGGCGGCGACGAAGATGCGATGAACATGGACGGTCACGACGGAACAGGCGGCGAAGATCCCAAGCCTGAACCCGATTCATATCCTCCCACGTATTTTGCGCACCCTGAACATGTTTCTGCCATCTATGCGCACATTGGAATCATGGTCATTGGGTGGGTTTTTGTGCTCCCAACAGGTATGCGCCTCGTCCCATTCTTGAACGACGAGGGATTGTTAGTAACAAGAAACCAACAGCTGTTATGCTTTCTATCGCGCGATCTCGATATACCCTTGCCGCTCAGTTCGTATTCCTCCTCACGAATGCGATCGGAGTCTTGATTAGTATCATTTATAATGCCAACACACCAGACTTGTATCCAAACAATGCACACCATAAGCTCGGTTGGCTCGTCACTTGGGTTGTGGGCGCTCAGGTTCTTGTTGGTCTTGTAGGACGAGTTGCTGGTATGATGAGCAAGACATCCCGCCTGGGACGCGGGAAAGAGGAGGAACAATCATTTATACCTGTATCAACAGAAGCTATGGCTGAACACCATCGTCTAAACCAGAGCATTTTTCCCTCGTCGCACCGACATTCTGATGACAGTGGTCAGGGAACGGAACGAAACACGGAATCACTTCGAAGTGCGTCGCTGTCGACAATGGTTGGTCATGAATCGCCGATTGAGCTTGGCGACCGACACAGGCATTACGAGGAAGAAGAAGACGATCTTATATACAGATCCGCCGAGCTTCACTCTTCGAATGCTTCGCAGTCGTTCATTACTAAGATTGCTGGCAGAATCTCCGGTAAGGCCTGGAAAGTCATCATGTTTGGTTACAACTTTGTAGACCGCACAATTCTTATCCTAGGCTATATCACTCTATGCACCGGGCTTATTACATATGCGCGCTTCTTTGTAGGTTGGGATACTAGGAAGTCTCCTTGCCAGATTTACTGACTTCGATCGCAGGAGGGTCACGAAATCTTCAGCGGATTGGCGCATTGGATCAAGGGCGGTATCTTCTTCTGGTATGGCATTTTAACGTTAGGCCGATGGACTGGCAGCTTTGGAGAGCTCGGTTGGGTGAGTCGAAGTTTGCTTTGAATCCATGTCAGCCGCAACATACTAACCAAAGGACCCAGGCTTGGAATGTTCGCCCTAAACAGAGTTCGCAAAAGTGGCGGCCGAGTGCCGAGTTCGTTGAGGGCGCGCTCATTTTCACCTACGGCGCAACAAACATTTTTCTAGAGCACCTAGGTAGCAGCGATTCCAATTTCAGCCCTCAAGATCTCGAGCATGTCTCGATTACCGTTCTCTTCATTGGAGGCGGTTTGGTATGTTCGCACTTAAATAGCTCTCATGCTGTAACGAGTACTGACAGGGTGCATAGCTAGCCATGCTGATCGAGTCGACTCGTATTCGCGACCTACTCAACACAACAACAACAGAAGCATTAATCTCGCACCCTAGTCATGCCTACAGCGACGAAGAGCGTGCCGCTCTCGATCCTCCGCGACAATACGAGTTCTCCATTAATCCCATTCCTGCTCTTGTCATCCTCTTACTAGGCATCATGATGAGCTCTCATACACAACAATCCATGATCTCAAGCATGGTTCACAAGCAGTGGGGTAACTTGTTGACGGGCGCTTCTTTCGCGCGAGGTTTTACATATGTGCTTCTCTACTTGAAGCCGCCGCGTTCCGTGCTTCCATCCCGACCACCGACGGAGCTGCTAACGGCCTTCGGGCTGATCTCGGGTGGCACCATCTTCATGGCAAGCGTAAGTCCGGAGCCGCCCTCAGAATCTGACCGGATCACAGGAAAAGCTAATCCAGTTCAACAGAGCGGTGATACAGTCGCGGGTATGGTTCACTATGACCTTGATGCCATGTTCTTCTACACTGTGACCATGGGATTGGTTGGCGTTCTTATGGCGTGGATTGTCCTCCTGCTCGCTTTCAAGGGGTGGGCTGTTCGCCGAGAATCTAGTCGCACCGAGAACTGGAACCTCCGATCAAGAAAATGAAGATGCAGAGAAAGCAACAGGTATGGTCAGATTCAAAACGATTTACGAGCTTACATGATACCGTCCACCCCATGTATACACGGGCTTGCGACATTTGCATAAAGTTGAGCAGTTCAGCATACGAGATTTGCTCTATTCTCCAGCGGTGTTGGATGACGGTATTGTCATTAGAACGGTCCTGCTACATATACCCTTTGGTTCGGTTTTTTTTTTTTTTTCCCTCCACTCTTTTCTCTTGGGGCTGATACCAAATATTCAATGTGGTTATTATCAAAGTTGGGGTTGTTATATTTATATGGAAATGATACCCTTTTGGATATGGCTTGCTGGGTGGATGCAGGGCGGTGCCTAGGATGTGCATCTTAAGGTTCTTGGGGACGGCCAGTGGTAATGCGAGACGAATTACGGGAGATGCGAGAATGAAAGGGATAGGGTGAGGGCAGCTTCAGTATATATACCTCCATATGATATGGTAGTATGGATATACCTTACATCCTTATATTTATAACCCTTGCAAGATAGTGTAGTGTGATTTTAAGCATGAGTGGAAAAGTGTAGTTCATGGCTGTGTAAGCGAAGTAGAGAACATGGGACTTCCTCTCTATGTAGGACAATAACAGGTGGCAATGAAGGTAACTACGGTATGATATTTGCTTAAAAGGAGTATAGAAAGATGAGAAAATCGGGGGTAGTTCTACCATGGTTGCTAAGTACATAAGTACATTGAATTTCGATGGAAAGGAGAAATTGAATTAATAGTACGGGAATGTAAAATAAAATAAATAGAAAAATACAAATGACTCTTCCTAGAATGTTTAAGAAATCGAATAGCTGTTATGAGCAGCGCCAAAAGTAAACGACATGTGCAGGATTTGAACCTACGCGACCGAAGTCATGAGATGGCTTAATTCGCAATTGAATTCAAGTCTCACCCATTAACCACTCTGGCAACATGCCTTGATTGTTGCTTTGAGCCCGTATTTGATACCAAGAACTTAGCAAAGCGGGGCCGTTACAGATTTTTTGATTATCGGTTTAGTCTAGAGCTACATGCCACTATATTTCTGAATAGCATGTGTCATCGCCTATGATGGTCACGACCTCTGGCAGATTCTGGTATTCAATTCCTCTGGGCTATGTAGCCTAAGAGCTAGACAACTTTATCGTAAGAACCCGGCTCACTACGATAGAAGATGCGTGCACGTTTTCATTTGTATCCTAAACCCACCTAAACTGAATGGAGCGTGGCATGCTATGTATATACGAACTAATACGGGGTAGACAAGCAACAAGTGGGAAAGTAATCTCCGCCTAGCCCGTCCATTCAACATCGATCATCTCAGACGTCCTTGCGTGTCCAGTAGCAAGAGAAGAGCCTGCGTACTACTCTAGTCAATCGCTAGTCACGAAAAAAATGTACGGAGGGTGTGAATACATACAAGCATAGCGTCTGAAAACAGATGTATTCGCCTTGTTATGGCAATGGTGCTTCATCCGCACACCACGCGGCTCAATCAAATCCCAATACCATCGGCACAGCTTCTCGAAGTCTCGCAAACCGCACTTTTATCATCGCTCACGCGGATTCCTTCTCGCCATCGGTCCCTTCGCTGACTGGACCAGTCTGCTTGGCTTTCACAATCCTCTTCTGGTCTGCTGCTGAGAACATAGAAGTGCCCTGCTGCAACGACCTGATCAGCATGGGTAGCGCATCGCCCTTGAAATCGTCAGCGTTGCGAATCTTGTCCAGGTCTTCGGCAAATTCTTTGGTCGACTGCTGCAGGTAGTAAGAGGTGAAGTCCATTGCTGTCTTTTGGTCTCCTGTTGTCCCCATCTTATTGGTGTTGCGATGTGATGTGATGTGATGTGGCGATTCGACTTGGTTTTTTTATGGCTTTGAGAGCTGCGCCGTCTAGAGAAAAGCTCGAGTGGTTGATGAATGCCATGGGCTGGCTCTATCAAAGTTGAAGGGGGCCAAGACTTCACCTACAGTACATTGTAGGTAGGTAACCTCCTAGGATACAGTCTATTCATATATCGGGGAATATGCTTGTATTCAGTGTCCACTCACAACCTCTCTTCAGCGACATCGCAATCGTATCAAGCTTCTGTATAAATTATTCTCCTGAAATAGCCCAAAATAGAAGCAATGAACTTTTTTTTTTTTTTCTAGCCTGGTGACTTCTCGGTATCTAAATGGGTAACCATGCAAACGGTAGTGATCTCTATGGGAGCGCCCAGATTGTCGACCATACAACAGAAGATTGAAGAGTGGTTCGCTTTTCTCTACAAAAGGGAAACCCCTACTTGAGTCCCAATCGAACCAGAGGAGGAATGGCGATAGTAGCGACAATTTGCAATCAAGAATGAGGGTAAAAAGCGCGCTCGCGACATCAATCCTCTACCGAGGAAAGGGCTTTTCAAAGGAGCCATTCCATCCTCCCCGGTAGAGAGCGTCCGCTCTTGCTCCTAACTGGCAGCCCGCGACTTAGGGAATGCTGGCGGTTTCAGTATGAAGGCATGAGTTCATGTGATGATGACTCGGAAGCCAACGTAATAGATGAGCCACCAAATTTCTAAACCTCGCTACGGGTATAGCTATGTCAGTCAAGGAGAGAGTGATTAAAATGCAATTTACGAGGGATGTTACCGATGCCATCAACCCCTCCATTATAATCATCGGCTATATTGAGCCCACTGGGGAGGTGCCATTTCTTTGTTTCCCGAGGACATGATTCGAAGCTGTTTATTGAAGTAATTCGAGTACAAGCAGACGCACAACTTCATAAATTGTATAGATCCTTAAACAGCCCATATTGTAGTATTTAACAGAAATAAACGCTTATTCGTCCAAAGGGATGCTTTTACTTCGATATCGAGATCAATTTCATCAGTTGATCACCTGTTCTGTTTGCTTTGTGTTTGCTAAATGCTGATTGTATTTCCATTAGAAAAGCAGGTTGGCGTGCACCCCATATATGATTCTAGCGGATTGTTACCAGCCGTAATTTTGAATATCGAAAATGACTGCTGAGGATACTCACATACCCTAGGTCTCCAGTTCTAGATGGCCAGTACCTTCTGGAACAATAGTTATAGATTTCGATGGCCATTGAAGCTGTCATGGCGAAATAGGCTTTTACTTTGATTGTCACCTTTTCACGGGGCTGTAAAACGACAAAGATATCCTTTATATATATATATTCAGCCGTCATGCCCGCAAGAAGGCTGGAAGAACCTGTACCCACAATCTCCTGATGTTCTCACAGAATAACGATAAATCTTGGTCCATATTCCACTCACTCAGGCGGGCTTTCTGCGTACACGTTCCACGCACAACCTCTGTGCCAGCTGAGTATGCAGTTCGCCTTGCACTTCGGCCGCACGGAGGACCATTGCAGGCTGTTCATGATCTTTCAAGACATGCAGGCAATATTGGGCAATATTGAAAAGTGAGGTTATACAGACGTCGCTTCTTGAAACAGACCCCAGAGACCTAGGTGGTCAGGGCTGGCAGACCAGCTATATATAGAGTCGAGTAAAGTCACCAAGGCCAGGAAGGAACTGTTTAATCAAGGACTCCTATAGCCTAGTTGATCATTATAGTCTGAATAGCTTCGATTCCAAGCACAGTCACCTCCCTTTATTATACGTAATTAATTCTCCTCAGTTCAAGTTAGAACTATTATCAAATGTAGAATTGTGAAACTCTGCGACAAATATGTAGGTTTCAATCAACGAGAAGGTCGTCAGGTGAATAAAACATATTACATCGAGGTATTCTCGCCCAGAATGGTGTCAAGTTTTGAAGGGCTCACCGGGACCGACTACAGTTCCACTATACAGGTATCATTGATGCAGGATCATATAAGTCGCGGAAGAACAAGACTCTAACGAGGGTAGTTTCGGGCATATTGACCTGAGTTCAGGCCAAGACTTTAAAGTAGTGCTGGCTACCTATGCTACAATTTGGTTCTTTAAGGTTAGCTGATATATAACACCCGTCCCCTCCCTCACGTCTCATCTCACCTATCTAATCCTTCATTCAGACTGAGCCCATGCCTACGCCTCCAAACGGCTGTTATTCATTGGCGAAATGAGAACTTATATGGCTTCGCTTTTCCTATACGTCACGGCTAGTATAGTTACTGTACCCGGTGTGGATAGACCCTGTCAAGTTGCTTATATGGATATGTGTACGAGGGTTCGACTTGGGTCAGACAATATTCACCGTGGTGTATAGAATCGCTCGGTACGTAAGACTATGGCATACTCAAGGCCGAATACGGCCACATGATTTGGGTTATGTCAGACCCTAGAATATGAAAAAAAGCAGTTCAATGCGTTAAAGGTGTTTGTATGTGACGCCCCGATGTCTGTGGAGACTGTGACACGCGATGGGACTAACGAGGACGTACTATGTAGACAAACGAGGGGACCAGGACCATTATTTACAGTGGCTGGCACTAAATATGAATCTAGTGAGGTGCCAAATATATAATGTATTAGCTTGATGAGAGCAAATGTGATACGATGGCAAAGATTTCTGGGAGGATCATCAGTATTGAGGTACAAGAGAGTGGTATTCAAACAAAGAAGCAGAGACGGTTAGATCCCAGGAAAGAGTGTTTATTGAGGCAATAGAATTAGAACGCTAAACTACGCTACTATGCAACCATGCTCCTTCGCACAGAGCAATCCAGCCTTTATTCTTTCGGTCTCGGGGCCGAGATGGAAGGCAGAGGCTCATAGGTGTCTGGCGCCAAATTTCAGGCAAGTGGTTCTGCACCAGCCATGTATGTAGTAGTGTACTATGTAGAAAGTATACGTAGAACAGAAAGTAACATCTTTTGCCATATCAGAAGAAGTCTTCAATCCCGGATTAGAAATGGAATCCACAAACGGCCGCTCCGCTGCTTCCATGGGGCTAAGCTAACTTAAGACTATGGGTTAGTCGGGGGGGGTTTTATACTAACCACACATACAAATAAGTGTTCATCCATGATTATCCAAGATTGTGAAGCCTTAGTTTTGCCGTACTTGTCTCCACATAGTACTGTAATAGTATCAAGCGATTCTCATGCAGGCAGCTGGAGAGAGTAAAACGTACAGTACATATAGATAGGAGGGATTCTTCGCGAATTCCATCCTCCTGCCGGTGCCGAGTTAGGCCAGCAGATGCCGAAGGATGAGAAGCCTCGGCACGGAGTCAATGGCGGCACCTTTTGGCTTCCAAATCTGAGTTTTCATGATTTTGGATTGTCATGTCATCATAGTGTTAACAGATAGCATCGGCAGCAGGAGCAGAAGCTTGAACATGACAGTAATTCAAATGATCAAGACATACAGGAACAGGAATGCTGGAGGATGGATGATAGCAAAGCTCTCTGTTATAACTTTTCTGTGGCTGTGTTGGATTGTCAATCAAGCCCGGACCGTTGCTATTTCGGTAGCGCCCCATCAAGCTACAAATCCTAGCAACAGATCAATGTCAGTTATGCAGTTGTGTTTACTCCGTACGTCCTAATAAGTTGGAGGGAAGGGGGCTCATTCTATACAGGAACCGTCTGTTGACACGGCATAACACCCTTCTTAATGCTGCGGCTTGAATACTCAACCGACTGGGAACTTACTTACTTACACACCCGAAGGCACATACGACGTCTTCCTTTCATGTTTCTAGGGGTCCGTGTCAGACACACTAATGACCTAACCTAAGTATGGCGTACTTGGACATGACTCTGTCTCAACGGTTAATGCGACTTCTGGCCCTACACCATGTTAGGCTAGTACAATTCACACTACTGTAGAAACTTGGTGGCCAGCGATCCTGATCATTTCAACCTACTTTGTATCTGTCATCGCTAGTGTATCAAATCGTGGATTGAGCACCTTCATCCTGCCTTGATTCCCGTGGGGTGTCCTAGACTACACCACAGTACCTTCGAATCAGATTATGCGCACATCATTCCTTGGGTGTGCGAGGACGATGTACGTGTGTACTGTCTATGTATTTCCGTGAGTATAGACGCAGTGGGGTGTGATTCTCATGCAAGATCACATGCAGGGTACACTTCACTGACCTCGGGGCGTTGGCGACGGCGCCGACTGGGGCAGTATCTACTACATAGTAAGTAAATAAATACACCACAGTACAATGACCTTGAGAATACTTGTCCGTAAGTAAGAGGAGGTCTCAACAGATGCACATATGTACATGTAACGGCCCAGAGACTGTTGGGAATAGTATGTACTGTGGGTACGCAATGAGGCGCGAGCTGTTGAAAGGATGAAGGGATTGAATGTGAAAGCGCTGCCCACCACATTCATATCGTACTTATGTATGATTTCTGTTCGTCGCAGGCACCTGGTACCTGTCAGGTCGTGTTTCGCTGCAAGGGTTCGCCCAACCAAGAACGCAGCGGCGCGCGATACGCCAGAACCCGCAAATTGGGACGAGTTTCGGAGATATTTCATCGCAAGTCGGTGGCCCATGTCTCTACCTCCTACTTAGTCCACTGTTATTATACCTATTGTAAGGGTACTTGATACTCCGTCATGCCTGTACTGCGACATTTTGCTCCTCAGCAGCGACTGAGCACAGCCCATTCGGATCTCGACTTGCGCGCGTTACTTATGTTCACACAGTATAGATACATATTGTAGCCATCTACAGTACCTATCTCATGTGGAGAATAAGTAAGTAAGCTCGGCAGCCTTTCGCTTGAAGTTGCAGTGCCACTTTTCGTGCTGCTACATTTAGTTCCCGGGCAGAGTGGTGCGAAAGATGATACTTAGAGGTATGCACTTGCTTTTACGCCACAAATCAGCGATCCTCAAAGCGGCGTGCCCGGTACTTGGGTCAGATCTCATCTTACTTACATAGGTAGACAGACACTCATAGGTACCAAGTCTGCTAAGGACCAAACAGAGCGTTCGAGGTTCGAGCTTCCGGTTCGAGGCTCGTGCAGTTGGTCCAGTCCAGTCCAGTCCAATGAATGATGGGTCTCGCTTCATGCTAGTGATGCACTGATAGGTAGGTCCTTAGGTACTGTATAGGTAGGTATGGTAAGGTCTCGGTCTTCCAAGAAAGACCAAGCAACCCCTCAGACTCCCAGACTCCCAGACTCTCAGACTCTGATTCTGAGTACAACATACCACATGACCTACATATTGTACATGTACCTACAACACTTCCAGGAGCTTTGCTCGAGGGGCGGAGGGGGTTTTCGCGGCAATGTGAGGGAATGTCGGTGTACCATATAGTACATACCTATGTACATATGGAGGTACCTACTGTATGTAGGTTATCTACTACCTGGTAGGTAGGTACATAGTAGTCACTTTCAGTGCACTAGGTACCTAGGTAGGTACTCACCTACCGGTACTCGCATGGATTGTTTCAGCGGCTGAAACCAGTCTGCTCGCTATTGGCTGACGACAGCAAGACACTACTACATGTACCTATGTACCTCCTCCCTGTCCAGATCCTGTCCAAGTACCGATCACAGTACCACCTCACTAAGTATGTAGTACCTACTCAAATAACCCCCTCCCTACCTACTACATCTACTAAGTACATGGCCACTAGGTAAGTATTTATTATAGCATCCTGGTGGCGCCTCGGCAGTACCTGTGTTCAGAGTGTAGGTAGGTACGGAAGGTAGGCAGTATATAGTAGTAGGTATAACCGTATACTTAGGTAGCTGACCTGCCCCGACCCTGCATCTGCCAAACCAACGAACCACCCCCAGGAAGAATTCGAGACGGACGGAAGAAGTGCTAAGAAGTGCTGCGAATTGCTAGGACATCGCTGCCATCATGACGAGGCACCAGGACCCTCTGCCCGCCCAGAAATCAATAGACAATGAGCGATCCTCACTGGGCCGACCGCAACTCTTCGTGCAACTGAGCTTTGGCGTCTCGTGGTCCGATCGCCACATCCCGCGGACTCACACCCTCAGCTACACCTCTAAGCATCTGAAGAATGCGAGGGACTCTGGTCATTTCCCTCGCCAGGAGCCACGCCATCACCACCGACGTCAGGACTTCGCTCAACGACAGTCGCGGGCCGAGTGGTATCACTATCATGATTATGAGCGCCCCCGTGGTCGCCCCAATCAATCCCGCCCCGCCAATCCCGCCGCATCGTCACCGCCGAGAGAGCCCAGGGCAGACTCGCGGCGTGCTGGCAACGAGCGCGGGAGCTCGGCGCCGCCCGTCATTCATGAGGGCCCGTGGAGCGATGACGAAGGAGGCCCGTCCGCCACCCTTTTCCCCCGTCCGGCGCGGACCACCAGGAATCCGCCCCACCTATGGAAGGACCTACCGACTAACCCGGCACGCTTTCGATTAGGTGAGGACGGCCTTCCGTGGTCTTTGTCGGCCTGGCCGTTCGATCAAGACGGGGGTGAAGAGGAGCCGCCGTTCGCCAACATTCCAACGACGCTGCCTCTGTCTCCGCCCAACAGACGTCACAGCGAGGATCCACAGAGGGTGAGAGATCTAGAGTCCCTATCGACAGCCATGGTGACGGTCGACAACGGCTTCGAGAACCAGTGGTGGAACCAAGGCGAGCGTGAGTCTACCGCCCACGTTTCGTCACCTTCCGTCGAGGACGAAGTGCGCCCGATGAGCATGGCCGATGCAGTCTTGCTCTCCGCCGCTGAGCCACCGTCGGGTGTGGAAACATATAGCCCCATCAGCGGGAGCTTCAGAGATCTAGTCTCGCCTCTCTCCGACTTTAGTCCAAATTTCAATACCTTCAGTTCACTTCATAGGTCGAGTTCGACACGGTCGGACGAACTATGGATGGGGAAGTAAAAAGAAACCATTAAAAAAAAAAACAGGAAGCTTACTCGGTACCGTATCATCGGCATATCGGCTTTTTTTTTGGGGGGGGGGGGGGGGGGGGGGGGTGTGGAGGGGGGGGGGGGGGGGGTGGGACGCCACAAAGGAACGCCGCGGAGCGACAACAAACGAGCGAAAGTGAAAAAGACGGGAAGAAG